GTCTTTCGAAGAGGTCCTTAAAGAAAAGGCAAGAGGAAAACAGGTCCTTAGCTATAAGTAGGTCTTTATCTATAAGACTAATAAACACAGCTTCCTTTAAAAGTATAAAGCCCGGCTAGTTATCTACGGGAACTAGTAGGAAAAAGGGGATTTACCTACTAGGGCAACTACCCTAGTAGGGATGTCTTTTCGGACCCTTATAGCTATAGTAGTAGAATTCGACCTCGAGCTCGATTAGATAGATATAGTTAACGCCTTTATTAACTACCTACTCGAGGAAGAAGAAGTTGTCTATATACGCCTTCTACTAGGCTTCTAATAGCTAGGAAAGGTTCTACGGCTTAGGAAAGCTCTATACGGACTACGAAGATCACCCCTTCTTTAGCAATAGCATTTAATAGGTTCCCTCGAAGCCCTAGGCTTTACGAAAGTCCCTTAGGAACCGTGTATAATATAGAAGGGTAAAATCACGGTCTTCTTCTACGTCGATAATATTATCTAGGTATACCTAAAAGAGGAAGAAGCTACTATAAGGGAGGCTATACGTGGCCTGCAATAAAGGTATAAGATAACTAGGCTAGGGGAGCTAAAGTGGTTCCTAGGGATACGAATCCTTCGGAATAGGTCCTAACGGACTATCTAGCTTACCTAGGACGCCTATATCGATAAGGTCGCTTATAAATTCCTCCCTAATTCCCTCGATAAGAAGCTTCCCTTTACGCCTATATTAGATAAAGAGCTTTTACCTAATCCGTCCTTTTAAGCTAGGGAGTAAGAGAAACACTAATATTAATAGAAGGTAGGCTCCTTGCTTTTTTTAGCTATTTCTACTAGACCGGATATCTCTTTTACGGTCTCCCGGCTAGCTAGGCATAACTAGAATCCTAGCCCTAGGCATTAAGAAGTAGTAGATAGAGCTATCCTTTATCTCTATTTAACGAGATTATATAGTCTACGCCTAGGAGGGCAGGAAAGGAAGAAATTAGCTGCCGAAATCTTCCTCTATTCGAGCGATTCGTCCTTTGCAGACAATTCCTTAGATAGAAAGAGCTTATAGGGGTATATTATATCCCTTTTTAGAGGAACCATTGCTTAGAGAGCTTTGAAGCAGGCTACTATTACGACTTCTAGTACGGAGGCAGAGCTACTAGCTCTTTTAGAAGCGTTAAAAGAAGCGATTTTCCTTAGCCGGCTATTAATATCTCTACGACTATAAATTCCGACCCTATTAGCTATAGAATACGATAACACGTAGACTATACGAATTCTTATGGAAAATAGTAAGTTATCGACCTAGCTATAGTATATCGATATCTACTAGCATTAGTTACGCTAAGAGGTCTAAAGGGGACTTATTTCCGTCCGTTAGGTTCTAACGGCATTAATAAAAGCTAACGGTCTTACGAAGCCCCTGCCGAAGTAGAAGCTAGCTATCTTCTTATAGCAAATTAGGCTAGAAGACGTTTAAGAGAAGCTGTCCTTAGAGGCCCGCCTTAAGAGTCTACGAGAGGAGCTAATAGCCCGTACGAGAAGGTAACGTTTATAGCCGAAGAAAAGGAAGAGGTTTTTCCCTTTAGAGGGCCCCTAATTTTAATTGGGTTTTTCCCTTTAAAGAAGGCCCCCTTTCTTATAGGACTTTCCCCTCTTTAGGCCCCTTTTCCTTAAGTAGGTCTAAAAGAGCCTAGGGACCTAAAAGGGCCCCTATATTCCTCGAGTAAAGGGAGAAGTGCAGAGCTAAGAACCTCCTCTATACGCTTACTAGCCCGAAGCCGTATTAGCTATGCCCTTACTATAAGGGCAGGCCATAGCTAAGGGGGTGTGTCGCGAAGCGTAGCCTGATTTCGCAGTTCTCGGAGATATCCCTTAGCACGAGGGACCAAAGAAGCTAAAAACACCCGGTATAGAAGAAGGAAGAAGGAGCTAAAAAGAGGTGTAGAAAGGAGGGTGGGGGCATAAGGGGAAGCAGAAGTAGCGATAGCTTCCTATAGAGGTAGCGAGAGATAAGACGGATAGGCCGGCAACGGCTAGAAAGGAGGGGAAAAACCGGCAAAAAGCTCGGTAGTCGAAAGGACATTAGTAGCTTCTTTAAGCAGGATCTTCTTTATTAATTAAGATGCTAGACGGGTATAAAGAGGGGCGTTAGATAGAGGAAAAAAAGATAATTAAGGCAATATAATAATCACTCCCCTACTATAATTGTTGCCCCCGTAAGATTTAAATATCTCTGCCCTGCCTATCCGACCCCTTACTTCTACTTTTACCTTTATGTATTTTATATATACTTCTCGTATCTCTCTACGCGAGAATATAAGTAAGAGGTCTTAGTAAGGTTCTAAAATAGTTTAGATTACGCTATCGTCGTTATTTATATTTTTTAAAGTATTATATAAAGATTATAGTTTCTTAACTAAGTCGCTAGTAATAAGGGTTATAAGGCCGATAATAAGAGCTTAGGGTTTTTTAGTATTAGCTTATTACTTTTCCTTTACTACTAGTAAAAGCATTATCTAATTATTTATTTCCTAGTAAGTCTATCGCCTTATTAAGTCCTTAACTTTAGCTATTAAGGTAGTTACTACTTTAATTATTAAATCCCTAGATTTTATTTTTTCTAAATAGTACCGTCGTCCTTTAGGTATTCTCGGCTTTATAAAGCTACTTATCGCCGTATAAATAAAACGGAATAACGAGTTTACGCCCTAGAGACTAGTTTTAATAAGGATAAGAGTATATATACCTAAAGCACGCGTAGTATATAGCTAAGGATTAATAGAGTAATTAACTATATAATTATTTAATTATCGATTTTATATATAGCTCTAAGGGCCTTAGGTTATAAATATAAGTCTTAGAGATTTCTTTACTCTATACCTCTTTATTTCTATTAGAGTCGCGTAACTAGTAGCCTTTACTTTAAAGGGGAAAAACAAAAATTTAAATTAACTATAATTAAGGGAGATACTTAATTAAATAATCGAGGTCTTTATAACGCCTTTAAGTATACTTAGAAGTAAGTTAGAAAGGGAGTACTAAGGGTCTTATCCCTATAACGGGCTAATATCTATAGGGGTACGATCTTACCTATTAAACTAGCCTCTTATTTCTCCCGTTACTCTCTACTAATTATATAGCTATCAGACTATACCGGACGCGGCTAGAAGGATGCTATAGAATCCTCCTCGTAACCTTACTATAGACCGGCTTACGCTATTAGCGGCCTATTATACTCGGTAGCTCTAAGTTAGCCTTAGGCTCTATATATTAGTCCTTAATTAGTATTAGTACTCCTATCTTATTATTATATTCTACGGCCTAAATTAAAGGATAAGGCTCGGCACCTAGTTATATGCGTCCTTAGAGCGCCGTTTCTTAGCTTACGTTTAGCGTAGTAATATATACCGCGTCGCTTATACGCGACCCTCTATTAACGACTAAAATTAATAAAAAGGGGCTTAGTTATACCTTATATAGTATATCGGAAAGAGTCCGGCCGAGGGAACGCTAGGCCGTGTCCCTTATATTAATAGACTATACGCTAGCCTTTCCTCCTTATATTATACTAGTCCGTGGCGCGAAAGGGTAATTTAGCTTATTAGGGATAGCGCCGGTCTAGCCGTATTAGTTAATAGACCTACCCCTTATATTACGCGTTAGCGCTATTAGTAACCGCGTATTTTCGTAACTAACTAAGGGGCATATAGGCTTCCTTTACCTACTAAATAGGGGCTAGCGTTTAAAGGGGTAGCTATAACGGTAAGAGATAAGATAGTCCGAGGTTAGGTTAGGGATAGAACTTATAGCTAGATAGATAATAATACCTAGATATAATAGCTTTATTTAAGTTAAAGAAAGCGTATTATATAACGATAAAGATATATATACTTAGTAGTAGTAGTAGCGGCGGCGGCATTTCTAAAAGAAAGGGGCGTAGACGCGTCTAGCGGTAGAGGGCGAAGCGAAGAGGTCTATATAGAGGTCGGCGGTAGACTAGCGGTGTAGGCGAGATAAAGACGGCGCGTATAAGGAAGGCGGGCGAAGGCGGAGGGCAGGGTGCGGCAGCAAGCAAGGGCCGAGCGTGTTATAAAAGGAGAGAGAAGTTAAGAGTATATATCGACGAGCGAGGGCAGGTATTAAGATATTTATATTCCTGCTATATTAAGCGTTATAACTAGGATCACGGGGCAGGGGCGGGGTTAGGGCGGCGGCGGCGCGATACCCGATCGGGGAGGGGCTATTTCCGGAGGCGGAAGTAGCGTATTAAAGATTACTCTTTAAATTAGTTTAAGCTATATATAGCTATATATAGGTTAGGCTATTAACGACTATTAAAAGGATAGGGCTAATAAGGCTAAAGAATATCTAGAACCCCTTTTTATTAACCTATATACCCTAGACACCCTCTTATAGAGTCCTATACCCTTTTAAAAGGCCCTATACCCTTATATAAAGCTTTATATCTTTTTAAATTAGTATAAGAGTTATAGAAGCGGTTAGATAGTTAAAGAGTACTAAGAAGGCTATAAGATAGTTAGGGAGTAAATCTATTATTTTAGTATAAAAGGGTGCTAAAAGGGGGTGCCGTAAGCTAGTAAGCTGACTTACAACCTACCTTTCGTTGGGTATAAGGCTCATTTTCTCCCGTCGGCCTCAGGGTGACGGAGAGTTAGATTCCGCAATGTTTGCACGTTGGATGGTGGGGGTGGATTTAGGGAAATACGACTCCTCAAGAAGCCGTTTGATGTTACGAAGTAACCTACAGGAGAGGGAACAAGGCAAAAAAGCAAGTGTCAGCGGGTGGGTGCATGGCAATGCTGTAAACGCGACGTTTTTTGTCTCGCCAGGGATAACGGGCTTCATGGACGGGACCCGCGGGGTTCCGACTCGATCCCTGCTGCACCGCCACGGGCCGGACAGAGTCGTTGAAACTCTTTGTACCGGGACGGACATTCTACTATACTCTTTGTTCACCCTTGCTGCAGCAATACAACTCATCGTTTCTCATGTCTGTCGGCAACGGGGCAGGAGTCAGCCTGGTAAACCACAATGGCCCCTGCATGCGGAGTGGCACAGAAACTGACGTCGGATACACCAGGCTGGGGGAGTCGCCGCCGTGATAGGCGAGGTGGTGGTCCATCCCATGGACACGGTCATCACGCGCATGCAGTCTTCAGTGTACCGGTCGCAGTACAAGAACCTCGACGGCTCCCTCAAGCGCGCCCTCTTCTCCGGGCTCTACCAGGGCTTCGGCCCGACGCTGATAGCCAGCGTGCCCTCGTCGGCCGCCTTCTTCGTGGCCTACGAAGCCTCGAGGTCGGCGTTTGCAAGGGCCCGCGCCGCTGGACACGTCTCCGGGGTGCCGCAGCCGGTCCTCGACGCCGCGAGCAGCGCGGGCGCCGAGCTCGTGGCCTGTGCCATTGCCAACCCGGCCGAGGTGCTGAAGCAGAACGCGCAGGTGGTGCCGCAGGCCCGCCAAGCGTCGTCTCCCACGGCGGAGATTCTGCGGCGGTTCTGCAGGCGCCCGTCGAGGCTGTGGGCGGGCTACTCGGCACTGGTGGCCAGCCAGCTGCCCAGCATCTGCCTGACGTTTTCCCTCTACGAAACCTTCAAGGCGGCTCTGCTCGAGAGACTGCGGTGGCAGGCCGACGACGTGGCTCGGCAGATGGCGGCGAGCGCCCTGAGCGCGGCGCTGGCGGGCGGCTGCTCGTCGTGGCTCTTTGTGCCCATTGACGTGGTCAAGACGAGGATGAGGCTGGCGGCAGGTGGCGAGCTGCAAGCTGCGCGGCCGCTGCTGAAGAAGACGAGTCGGGGACTGGCAGCGTCGTCGCCGCCGCCAATGAGCAAGGGCGCATGGGCCGTGGCCGCAGATGTGCTTCGTACCGAGGGGGTTCCCGGGCTGTTCAGGGGCTCCATCTTGACCTGCGTGGCGGCCTTCGTGGGCACGGGGCTTTATATTGGCTGCTACGAGGGCGGCAAGATTCTGTTCAACGAGTTATGCCGCGGCCAAGCGCCTCACGGCCTATCAAGTCGGAGGTAGGGGAGAGCATGGTGTACGATATGTGAGCCCCGCGCCGGGCCAAGTGTATGATATTTTCCACTCGATTAGATGTACCATTATCGCCGCTTCGTCAATATACCTGTTTGGCCTGAACGGAGGGGGAGCTGTCCTGGATCTGGGGTTCTTGTCGAGCCCACACACCAAGGCTAGGCCCAGAGTCCAACAGTCCATGTGTATTTAGGCTCAACCTTGGGCTAAGGGCAGGCATGAACAAGCATGTAATGTAAGCTTATCATCCCGGCCACGTCCCCGCGTGCTTGCCGGGTGGTCTAGAAGCAGCACACGCTCGCAGTCTGAGACACGGCGACTCGGTGTGTCCGAGCAGCAGCCAATGAACAAGGTTGGTGCACCAGCCGGACCTCAGAGGGGAGTGCTGCCGTGTCGCGATCGACACTGGCTATCTTCGGATCGTCCGAGGCCCAAACGGCTGGTTCGTTCAAGGACCTGCGATAACAAACCGGAGGTGAGTTTTGCGACGGCGGCGACGGACAAGCTTTGCGTTGTTGGGTTGACAAGCCTCGGGTTGGTCTTGACAAGCCGTCACTCACCAACCAGTGTGCTTTTTCACGGCATCACATGACGGCCCGGCGCCTGAAGGAGATGACTTTCTGCGCCTGTCTGTCTGAGCGGCGATGGAGACGACTCTTTTCAAGTTGCCCGTACTCTTATGATAAGGACTCTAGCAGGTGCTATAGGTGGTATGGCTAATCCACGACCGCTGCTAAAGTATTAAAGTACAGCAGCAATGCGCGTCACTGGCCTACAGCGGCTACTGCAGCGCTGCCCAGACGCTACAGGCACCTAAAACGGACGGCAGGGAACAGAAAGCGAAAATGGGAACAAAGACCCAAGTATCGCTACCTCCGCCCCTGCGCCGGTACCAAAAAGAGAACCCTGGTGGTGCAGCCATTTGCGCCACGCCGGCACGTACCGCACCCGGCATATTCCGGTGGTTCGAGGTACTCGAGACCTGCGCCCCGAAGCAGTACCTGATGGAAATGCCCTCAAATCACGAACCCCCCCTGGTGCTGCCGCGGCCCTTGGGCTTCCTTCGCTCCCTCAGACGCCTTTTCCCCAGTCTTATGCTGCGCCTCTGGGCCTTGCGCTCTCTCTTTCCGCCTTCGTTCTTTATCCCTCGTCTTGGTATTTCCCCCCTCCCTCCCCTCGGCTCCGGACCTTCTCTACGTCCCTTCCTTTCCCTCCCCAGTATTTTGCGTGGCATCGCCATCAACAACAACATCAACATCAGTATCATCATCATCAATAGCCGCATCCCCCATCGTCGCAGCGACCCCCCCTCGCCGCCGTCATGATCTGCCTCGACAAGGCCGACGAGGCCACCCTCCGCCACCTCACCTGGAACCAGAGCCCGCCCGCCCTGGCCGCCGATCAAACCACCTGCCAGGACCTCAACGGCATCTCCAACAAGCGCCAGTACGTCGCCGCCGGCCAGGACGATGACAGTGGCGGCGGCGGCGGCGCACTCGGACCCGGTGCCGCCTCCGATGACGGGGCACGCCAGCATCTGCGCCGGCCCGGGTCCGTGGCCGCGGCTCCGGGCGCGGGACGATGGTTCAACGGTATGCACCCTATTTATGCACGCCGCCAAACCGCTCAATGACTCACCAGGCCCCCTCCAGGACCATCCTCGCCTCTCCAGGCGGCTGCTGGCGGTGATGGCCACCTCCGTCTTGCCCGGGTGCCCTCCTCCGAGGCGCGCCTCTGGAGCTGGACCACCTGGATCCTCTCTGTTCTCTTCTCCTCCTGTCTTCTTTCGTCCATGACCGCGCTCGCCAACTGGTCTCCCCTGCCGCATCTTGACGCCATCACTGCCGCTGCCAATGCCACGCCCATTGCTGATCACCATGGCCCGCCGCCCGTCTCCCTGCGCCTCCATCTGCCTCGGGCCGCCCTGAGCAGACGCGCCACCTGTGCCGCCGCCGGCGTCGACCACGTCGAGTACAACACGCCGCTCCACGTCGGCGCCCTCCTCATCATCTGGTTCGTCTCGTCCCTGGGCTGCTGCTTCCCCATCATGGCCGCCAAGTTCCCCGGCCTGCGCATTCCGAGGCGCTTCTTCTTCGCCGTCCGCCACTTCGGCACCGGCGTCCTCATCGCCACCGCCTTCGTCCACCTCCTGCCCACGGCCTTTGTCTCCCTCGGCAACCCCTGCCTCGGCGAGTTCTGGACCAAAAAGTACCAGGCCATGCCGGGCGCCATTGCCCTGGCCGCCATCTTCCTCGTCACCGTCATCGAGATGGTCCTGCATCCCTCGCGCCACGTCCCCCCGCCGCCTCTCGTCTCGGGCACCGCTGCCAGTGGCCATGCGGCTCCCGACGGCCACGGCCCCGGCCGCCATCTCTGCTCCGGCACCGCCATGCTCCCCTTTCGCGACATGGGACCCCTGCGCGGCCGGGCCTCGAGCATGGCGCAGGGCCTGTCGCAGCTCAACAACAGCCCTGCCGTCGACGGCAACCAAGACGGGGCTGACGCCGACGCCGACGAGCAGCCCAAGCCCGAGCACGAGCCCGAGCACGACGGGAGCGAGTCCCGCCAGGAGCAGCAGCTGTCGCCCGAGCTCAAGCGCCGCAAGGAGCGCCTGCAGTGCATCCTGCTCGAGATGGGCATCCTCTTCCACAGCGTCTTCATCGGCATGGCCCTCAGCGTCTCCGTCGGCACCGACTTTGTCGTCCTGCTCATCGCCATCGTCTTCCACCAGACCTTTGAGGGGCTGGCCCTGGGCGCCCGCATCGCCGCCATTGAGTGGGAGCACAAGAAGTGGCAGCCGTGGATCATGGCCCTCACCTACGGCTGTACCACGCCCATTGGCCAGGCGCTCGGCCTGGCCACGCACACGCTCTACAGCCCAGACTCCGAGGTCGGCCTCATCGTCGTTGGCGTCATGAATGCCATCTCGGCCGGCCTGCTGACGTTTGCCTCGCTCGTCGAGCTGCTGTCCGAGGACTTTCTCAGCGACGAGAGCTGGCGCTTCCTGCGTGGCAAGGCGCGTGTGGGCGCCTGCGTCCTTGTCTTCCTCGGCGCCTTTTTCATGAGCCTGGTTGGCGCTTGGGCGTAAGCCGGGAAGGGGGTTGAGGCGTCCACGTCCTCTCCCCTATCTAACCCGCGCATTGCATATTGCCGAATGGATCTGGTCACAAACAGAGCCCGGCAAACAAATCATTGTGGTGGAGCGAGGCCTGTCTTGCATAAAGTTGGCCGCCTTCTAGAGTGCTGGATCTTGAAGGAGCTTCAGCAAGAGGGTCGGCCAAGGGATGTCACGTATCCCTTGTTTCGACTTCTCTCTGCTTAACCCTGTTTATTTTTCTTTCATGACGCTTTGTGCATTTGACTCTGTTCATGGCGCCGCACACTTATTGCACTGTCGCTATCTTTCTCTTCTTGGACACTTGTCAGCTTCGCTGAGCTCAGTCTCAATGTCGAGTATTAAAGCAGAAGCCTGGCGTGAGCCATATTATTCGTCGCTTGCCGACACATTTCATCATCGTTTAACGCAACCGCTCCAACTGGACCCAGAGGAGTCCGTGTTCTCGTAGCCTTCGTTGAGTATGCTGTCCAGGCACATATGCCGTTCGCCCGCTGCCAAAAGCCCACAGACAGGTGCTCTGCCGTACGATTGGCACGATGAGGACAAACATCTAAAGACTACGCGATACATACACAAGGTAGACTTTTGCGTGCCCCTTCCGCCCACGTCCGAGTTTGTTCGCTCAACAATGGCTTTTACGACACCGTGTTCTGCGCGACGACGACCCTGGCAAACTCGCCAAACGTCAGGTGGCGCTCCCTGTCCACCTCCTCGTCGAGGTTGGGCTGCGTAAAGACGGCGAGGGTGTTGCGGGCGACGCGGCCGCCGGCACCGGAGCCGCGGCGCACGCCCCTGACAAAGTGCGGGACGGCCTTGAAGCGGCCGGCGGTGATGCGCTCGAGCGCCTCGCCCGTCTGGAAGGCGATGCAGTCGCGCGGGATCTTGACCTGGACCGTCTCGCCCGCGCGCGACTTGATGTACAGCCCGGCCGAGGGGTCGGGCGAGGACGGCAGCTCCTCGAGAGGCGACAGGGAGGCGCCGTTGGAGGGGGCGGCGGCGTCGGGCACGACGGGGCTGGCCGTGCTCTCGTCGACGAACATGGCCGAGGTGAGGCCGGTGAGGCATCCGTGGTCGAGGTGGGTGGCACACCAGTCGTCGTTATCGTCGTTTTCGCCCCCGTCTTGGCCGTTGCCGCCGCTTCCAGCCTCGTGGGGGAAATAATGCAGCAGCCGGGCCTTTGTGGTGCTCGAGGTGCTGACGACGTGCTCGAGATATCCGCGAGGATACCCCTGGATCTCCTTGTCGGCGAAGCGGTCGCAGGCGCGGGCCACGAGGACGGCCACGTCAATGATGAGGCGACACAGGCTGGTGAGGGCGGGCCGGAAGCCCGGCAGCACGGCCTCGGGGGGCCACAGGTTGGGGGCCAGGTACTCGGGGAAGGAGTCGGGGGAGAAGCCGGGCGTGGGGCGGGCGCACTCGAGGTGCGGGTCGAGGTAGAAGGCGCAGTTTGCGTAGTAGGAGCCCTTCAAGGTGTCTGCCTGGCCGTTCTTGAGCGTCTCCTTGCCGCGGGACCAGCCCGTCAGGTACTTTGCCTGGCCATTCTCCAGCTTCTCTGGACACACAAGGTTAGCAGCGTCTTTCTCATTCGCCTCCGGGGAGAAGGGACACGCACCGAGCTCAGCGGCCGGGAGGTTCCCAAGGTAAGAGGCGTAGGAGAGGGCGAGGCGGCGCAGCTGGGCAAACTCGGGGGCCACGTCCTTGACGACGAGAATGCCGAGCGAGTCGGGCCCAAAGGCTTGCTGGAGGGTGTCGAAAGAGACGGTGCCTGAAGATGGTTTGAGTCGCTAGTTTTAACTTCCCGCATTCCACGACAAGGTTTAAGTCGCGATGGGTCGTTCGGGGAGACAAGGTTCTTGTCTTACCGTTTGTGAGGTCCTCGAGGGAGACAGTCACGGCCTGCGCCTGGGCAACCATGATGGGGAGATGCGACCTAGACGATGACGATGGGAGGAAAAGAAGGACAGAGAAGGGAAAAGAAGGGATCGAGGCGCGTTAATATATACCTGCCTGGTCTAGATCACCGGCCATTCTTGTTCATTTTCTTCCATGCGTCTCTCCCGGCTCGAAGCGGGATGCCCCGGCCCATTCCGCGAGCCTCTATGCACGGAGAGCACTGTAATAATGCGGGGGAGGGGCTCGGCTCGGCGCAGATTCGTCCCGTGCCTTACGTAACCGCGCCGTGGAGCTCGCCGCCTCCCGACGACAACCTCGCAGCGGCTTGTTTGTTGACCTCAGCAACCCATCCGCCGCCATGGTCAAGCCACTCACCTTCAAGGGCGACAAGAAGCCCAAGAAGCGCAAGCGCGATAAGCAGCCGGGTCCGGATGGCGGCGGCGACGACGACAATGCGCGCGCCAAGCAGCTGCAAAAGGTCGACGGCGACCCGGACGACGATGCGAACCAAGACGACAGCTGGGTCTCTGCCGAGGCCCCGACGGACGTTGTTGGCCCCGTCGTCATTGTCCTGCCCACCGATGTGCCCTCTGCCCTTGCCTGCGATGCTGCCGGCGCCGTCTTCTCCATGCCCCTCGAGAACATTGTCGACGAAAACCCTGCGAGCGCGGAACCGCACGACGTCCGCCAGGTCTGGGTCGCCAATCGCGTCGCCGGCACCGAGAGCTTCCGCTTCAAGGGCCATCACGGAAAGTGAGTCAAGCACAGACAGCAAAATACCCTTCCTCACATCTTCTGACCGCTTCTCCAGATTCCTAGCCTGCGACAAGATTGGCCACCTGTCGGCCACGTCCGAGGCCGTCTCGCCCCTCGAATGCTTCAACGTCATTGCCACGGCCGACACCCCCGGCACATTTCAGCTGCAGACGCTGCGCGAAACGCTGCTCACCGTCAAGCCGCCCGACGAAGTGCGTGGCGACGCCGACACCATTGCCTTTGGTACCACGCTGCGCATCCGCATGCAGGCGCGCTTCAAGCCCAAGCTGAAGGCCTCCAAGGAGGAGAAGGCCCTGGCTAAGATTAGCCGCAGCGAGCTCGAGGCGGCGGCGGGCCGGAAACTGACCGAGGACGAGGTCAAGCTGCTCAAGCGCGCCAGGCGCGAGGGCGACTATCACGAAAAACTGCTCGACATCAAGGTCAAGGGCAAGCACGACAAGTTTGCCTGAAACAGCAACGGCGAGCGAGTGGAGCAGGCAACCAAGCCGCGAGTGTGTTTTCTTGCGTTTAATACTTCTTTCCGAGGGCATGTACGGTGTCTGGCGTGGGAGGAATGAGGCTCTGCTACGGTAAGACGGCGACGCCCACGTGTGTGCATCGGGACTAGATGCGAAATAAACTGCATAGGTTCAGGCACTGGGTATCATTTGACACGCAAAGAAAACAGCAGGCGGCGGCTCACGGGTCAGCCAGTCGGCCTCCAGGCCTTGACGGCACCGTCCTCGCCCGCCGTCAAGACGAGCTGCTCTTGGTCAAAGAAGCAGAAGGACCGCACAATCTCGTCCCCGTGAGCCCCCGGAAGTCCCACGCTGTTGCTCTTGTCCAGCACCCACGATTGTCCTGCGGGGTCCTTGGCCAGGAAGACGAGTTCAAAGCTCTGCCGGCTGCGTGACGGGTCTGCATTAGCGTCGAGCTGAACGCTGCAAAGAGGGTTTGGGAGATCAAACGTACTCGTGCGACCCGGCGCCGATAATGGCGCCGCTCCCGTCCGTCTTGGGCGTCACGTCGGCCACGTACTGACAGCCGAGGACGGCCCTCAGGTCGCCCGAAGGAAGGTTGGTGGGCGCGGCGTCGTCCCCGTCGCGGGCGACGTCGTAGATGGCGAAGCGCTCGTCGTGCGAGAGGGCAAAGGCGAGCGAGTCGGAGAGGAAGCCGGCGTGGTGGATGGAGGCGTCGTGATTGTGCGTCTGCAGCGTCAGCTCGTCCTCGTCGGCGATGCGCGTGTCGTGCAGGCTGACGAGGCCGTCGGTCGAGCCGCTGAGCAGAAGGGCCGGGTCGGACGGGTGCCAGGCGAGCGCCGTGACGTCGTCGCTGTGGGCTTGGTCGTAGTGCGCGCGGGCGGTGGGCGCGGCGCGAACGTCCCTGGCGGCCGGTGTTGGTGACGATGGAGCGCGGCGGAGGCGGATGGACGAGGGTAGATGGAAGTGGTAGAGAAACTCACCAGAGGAATATAGAGGCCGTGTGGTTCTGCAGCTCGGTCCCGACGGCAATGGTCGGCGTGCTTGCGCTGCAGGCCATTGACAGGATGGGCGCGTCGCTCGCTGCGCAAGGAATGATGAGTCTCGGTTCCTCTCACTCGCAGCATCGAGCAAGTGAAACAAAGAGAAGAAAAAGCCCACCTCGAAAGTGCGCAACTCTGGCCGCATCCCCCCTCAGCCTCACATCCCACACGCCCACCGTCCCATCCTCGCCCGCCGTGCACACCAGCGCGGCCCCCTCGCCGGCGCCAAACGGGCGCAGCGTCGTCGTCGCCCCCCCGTGGTCGGCCCTCCACGCCGCGGCCGGCGGTCCCTGGCCGAGGCGCGCCGGGTCCAGCAGCGAGAGGCTCCGGTCCGAGGCGAGGGCCGCGACGAGGCCGCCGCCCGTGCGCTGCAGGTCGAGCACGTAGACGCCTCCTCCCCCCTGCGCCGCCGAGCTGGGCAGCTGGTGGCGGGCGACGTTGCTGAGGCTGTACATTGGCGCTGCGTGTTTCTCTGTCGGGTTGGCTGGGTCGAGGTGAGTGTGTGGGTGAGTGGGTGAGTGGGTTGGTAGATGGAGGAGTCCACTACGGGGCCCTCTGTTTCTTCTTTTCTATCCGAATGAGAATCGTTTTTCTCGTCACGACGTTGAGAAAGTCGACTTTGGACAGGTTTCTGAGCAACAGTTGCTATATTCCATATCAAAGGCCGTCTTTTGCCCGGCGGGTCGTGATGTCGCTGGAAAGTTTGTGACCTCGTTAACTGAATATTCCAAGGTGAATAAGAAGCTACTCCCAACCCTAGTAAACCCATCCACGCCCCAATTCGTCTTGCCCCCTTCGACCGCGGCTGTTCGAGGATCAGCGACTCTAGGGACTGTCCAATGGGCTACAACAAGCCGCTGATCGGTCTATAACAAGTTGCTAGCATGACATGGACGGACGAGTTCACGTCCCCCATCATGTGCAAACTCACGGCCACCCCCAGGTCGTTCAGCTCTGAACCTTCCAAGTCCCGGGCACACATCGTTTTACAGCGCAGTGTCAACGTGGCCAATCCTTATCTATCCTGCTGCGCTAGCCACGGCGATTCAAGCAGCTTGCTGGCATCGGGGCGGTCCCATGGATCCGGTCTCACCATTGACCCAATAAAGCTCAAGAACTCCTCCCTTTCTGAGCCCAAAAGGTCGGTATTCTGGCTAAACTGTTCTAGAGTGCACGGCGGGAAGGTTGAGGGCTTGAGTAGGTGGCCTATATAAGTTAGTAGCCGTCCAGCAAGTGCAGTGTCTATGTTGAGCTGGCCTATGGGAATCGTACCGTCGGCGTCAAAGTACCGATGTCGATTCTTGGATCTATCCAACAACCGTCTGGGTATACCGCCAAAGACGGCGGTGATTTGAGCCAAGTGAGCCTCGGGCGTGTACAGGTCGTTCGAGGTCCACGTGCCGTCGAAGAGAAGTCGGCCTTCGGAAAGTTCCCAAATCTGTCGAGGAAACGTCATGATGCCGCACGGCGTTGAAGTACTGCAGGAAGGGAGCTTACTATTAAGCCCAGATTCCATATATCCACCCTGTAGTCCCAGTCCGCCCCGAGTATCACCTCCGGCGCTCGCAGCATCTGGGGCTGGATCCACTCTGTCAAGTGCTTGTCGATCCAGCTCGCTTCCGCCAACTCGTTAGATGTTGCGCAGCTTTCTCTGTCCTGAAGGGCTCACCGGTTCCAAAATCTGCCAGCCTGACGGAGAGATCAGCTGGGCAAGCTACGTCTTCCTCAGCGGAGGAGACTTGAACGGACTCGGTGTAAAAGTCGTTGGACGGGTCTAGCGGCGAGTCGCGTGGCTGGAATACCTCAGACGGCGCGTGCTGGAACATTTCGTTGATGGCCGAAGTCTCGATGAGGATGTTTTGCGGTTTGATGTCTGCAACTGGTGTCAGAGGCAGGCAGCCAAAGCGAGGCGCGAAGATGACAGATGCGGACTGACGGGAATGGATGACTCGACATGTATCGTGTAGATACGATAGGGCAAGCAGGAGTTGCTTTGATATGTGTCTCATGAGGCGCAGAGGGACCTTTAGTTTTGGGAATAGACGCCTGTAGCTTGACATATCTGGGCCCATGGCTTTGAACACAAGGCAGACATGATGTCCGTTCGGGCCACGGTGCTGGAAGTTGTCGAGCAGACCGAGAACATGGTTCGCGCCGGGGTTGATCGTGTTCCGATCCCTTATGTGCCTGAGAATATCCAGCTCAAAAGTATTGTTTCCTTGTCCGAAGGAGTCGGCTGTGAGGATTTTGAGCGCAACGTGTTGCTTCGACCTGGGGTTGGGCTCAGACCATGTCTCTTTGCAGGCGCTTCAAAGACTTACTCGAGGTCGAATGCCAGCCAGACGGTAGAGTAGACGCCGTATCCAAGCTTGCTGACGATCTTGTATTGATCGTAACCGAACAGATCTCCGATCCTCACGGCGTGGTAGCCTCCCTTGCAGTACCGAGTGATGCTTTCCTCGGAAATGGCACTCAGTGAATGAAGCTGTTGAGATGAGCGGCTGAATAGTGACTTCAGGCGAGCCGCGCCAGGGCCGAGAACGTTTGCCAATGCCATCATCGATAACGTGGTTGCTGTGACGAGGGTGAGGGGCGCAGCTTTTGGATCAAGCCCCTGCAGGGCACCAACCACCCGCTGCTACTTCGCACAGAGCAATAGATCTAGGAAGCTGAGCTTGCTCCCCTTTGCCGTCTACAAACAACAACTCCACGCCTTCGCATCATTTCCGTCACTTGAACACAGGCTTTCACAAAGAATAAATGGTGCTGAGAAAGCTGCTCGTGGGAGATATCGTACAAGGTCTTGTTTGTCCACCTCGCGCGTGCCAAACTCCATCGACAGAATGTATCCTCGCAACCGTCCGACAACGAAGCAGCCTCTTTACTCAACGCCCGCTCCCTGTTCCTCCAAAACGCCGGATCGATGCAGGCCTTTGCCGCCGCCGCCACTGTTGCCAACCACCTCTCTACACATGTTCGCCGTGCCTTTTATCCGCACGCTCATTGACGCCTCGAAACACGCGCTTGCCCACCTCGTAACTGCTGATCATGATGGCGCAGGCCGGAGCCACCTTGAGCGTGCGCGGGATCCAGCCTTTCCATAAGCCCGGGACGCCCTCCGTCTTGAAAATGTGCCACAGCAGCCGTACAATGTTTCGCTCCTCGGGCACATGCGCAGGGCCTGCGCCGCCGGGCTTTGACTCGCGGGGCGCGTCGCGGTACACCTGCGTCCGAGTCTTGCCCACGTCAAACGGCGTCGTCACAATCGAGGCGAACGCGCCCGACATGGCACCGGCGGCGAAGCTGTCAACGAATGTCTCGCTGTGATTTTCTCGGCTTGGCAAATCCTGTCGCGTCGGAGAGTTTGACGTGGCCCGCTTCGACTCGCGAAGGTGCGTGAGTCTCGCTCGGATCGATTCATACCCCCACCAGTATAACCCAGAGAAGGGCACGTCCCGCCAGAGCGTCAGCGTCAACCCTCTCCACAGCGCCGTATATCCGTGAATCCCGACCATTTCCTTGATCCCCTGGAACGTCTTCATCAAGTGGTTGGTCGTTGACGTGCCCGAGGCGGCTTGCATCCGCGTCCGAACGAGCTCGATGGGTCCGACAGCCGTCGCTGCCAGCACGCGCGCAACCGAGCCGCAGGTCAGCGGGGCGTAGTCGGGCGACAGCCTCGAGAGCGGGCTGTTCGAGTTGTGCCGAAGCCAGTCGTAGCCAGTAAAGTAGATGATGTTTGCAGGGATGGTCATGACAAGCGTGGGAGACAGGCCCCTCCACAGCGTCGTGACGCCCTCGTTACGGGCAATCTTGCGCAGGCCATCAAAGGTGGAGCTGTACGTCTTCTTGCGCACTTCCTGGACGGCGCAGTCGCCCGAGGCCGTCGTGGATGGGTCCGATGCTCCGATCCGGGGAGCGGCAAGACAAAATTCGGCGTTGTTGCCGGCAAAGAAGACTTCGCGGCAGCACGCCGTGACGCCGAGCTCGGCCGACTTAGCAGACGAAAGGGTGTTTGTGGTGAGAGCGAGCTTGGAGAAGTCGATGCTGGAGATGGGCGCCTTTTGCGACTGTAACCGGACCCGAACGACGTCGAGAGGAGTGACTGTACAGTGGCGAGTTAGCAATAGACGCAATGAGCAGTGGATGAGGCCGACTCACCCAGCAGCGAGGTCACCAGGCTTCCCGACATAGCCGAGATCATCTTCTGCATCGCCGTGATGTCGCCCCTGGAACTGCCTGCATCGCCCTTGGCATCGGCCGCCCGAGCCATGGCGAGCTGCTGTGACTCTAACCTGTCGTGATTCTGGCCGCGAGAGCTGTGAACGACAGAGGCCATGCTGCGCACGCTGGAAGCATTGCACGGTAGGTGGCGAGCGCGCAAAGAGTCTACAGCGAGCTCGGGGTGGCCGGAAAGGTCTCCTGCGAATCGAGGAAGACGTTGCTCGGCCAGTTTCTGATGACTTGGACACAGAACCGGCCTAGGATGGCCGACAGATGGGTATGTATGAGACAGAGTTTCGTGGCAGTAGAGGAGGAAGCATTAGTCACTGTTGGTTGTGATGAGTTAGCTTTGTCATTGATAACGCCGAGAAATTTGGGTCGCCGGAGATAATGGACCTTTTTGAGCCAGCCAACATGCGATCTCGCCATCCGCCGATGATGTCAGACTGATCTTTGATTGGCCCTGCAGATCGAGGGTGGGGCTGCACAGTCAGGCAGTCAGTCACCGATAAGATATTGAACTGCTTTATTATCGATAAGCCGCCGAGTCCCGGCAAGCGAGAACCCATTGGTTGGCGCAGAAGGATCCTGAGGTGGGGTGACCGCCATGACTAAGCCCAGAAAAAGTTGCCTCGATAAGATTTTTGTCCTGCCGTCAGCCAGTCCAACATCATCACCAGCTTGCCTCGAGTTATACAGTGGCGCTGCGCCTCGACCGTTCAAGATGCGGTAGGTCGTCATTGTCTCTGCGACCGTGGAAGACTGTATGTGCTCACAGCTTGTCCAGGATCGAGTCCTGTTACTTCTGCGGCCGCCCCGCGTATCCCTCCAAGGGCATTACCTTTGTGAGGAATGACGGTTCGACGACCCCATCCTGCAGAGCACTTCACCATATACTCACCCGCCTGCGCTGCAGCCAAGTCCTTTCGCTTCTGCCGCTCGAAATGCCACCGCAATTTCAAGATGAAGCGCAACCCGCGCAAGCTCAAGTGGACAAAGGCCTACCGCAAAAACGCCGGCAAGGAGATGACGGTCGACAGCACCCTGCTCTTTGGGGCCCGCCGCAACGAGCCCGTCCGCTACAACCGCGACCTCGTCCAGAAGACGCTCGCCGCCATGCAGCGCATCAGCGAGATCCGCGGCCGCCGCGAGCGCGTCTTCTACAAGCGGCGCATGGCCGGCAAGCGCGAGCGCGAGCTGGCCGTGGCCCGCGAGCTCGTCGCCAAGAACGAGCACCTGCTGCCGCGCATGCGGGGTAGCGAGAAGAAGCGCCTCGAGGAGCTGGCTAAGGAGCAGGGTGTCGACGTGGACGAGCTGGTCGAAGAGCAGATGAATGCGGCGACGACGAAAACCAAGGCGTTTGGCGGTGAGAAGAAGAGACTACGGGTCCGGATCGACGGCGACGTGGAGGAGGTGGAACAAATGGACATGGACTAGAATCGCAAGCCGGGATAGCGCACGACGGGAAGCTTCGGGCTTCATCAACAGGCGCTCGAAGCGGGCTACACCGCATGGCCCAGGAGACGTTTGAGCTTTGTAGCTGGCGTTGTTGGACGGATCTTTTGGGTTGCAAAATAAAGACGTGTTTTTGCGGTTGCCATGTTCTATTCTCGTTGCCAGCCTCCTGGACATGCTCGAGGCGTGGTCAAGTTTGAATGCTTGCCTCGAGAAGGGTGGTTCCGGGGAGGCTGCCATCGTGTCTCGGAGTTGAGCCCCTTGAGCCCCGATAACGGCCGAATTGTATTCCTGCCGAATCGGATAACTACCGGCTACGCTATACCGCAGGTTTCGGACGACGTACCCGCCCGGGCTGCCGTGCATGTACTGTACCTACTTCTCCACTAACTCCGTTGACATTACCGCGTCATCCAACTTCATTACCATTCACCTCGACCTGCATTATTTCCGCTTCTTCCCCTCCTCAAATCCATCCTTCATACCTGGTAAACCTATCCTCTCAACTTCTCAAGGTCACGTCAACCCTAAACATCTGGACGGCCAGTCCGCGTAAGTAGAGGTACCGCCACTCCACTCCCCCTCCGGGGCCCAACGGACTTGGCCCTCGACCATGTCCACCCAAGCGCCTCGACTCGACTCGGAGCTCGATTCCTTCCGCGAGCAATGGCTCTCCGACTTGCGCACCCGCAGACACTCCTCTTCCTCCCACCAAGCCCGGCCCGCCTACGCCGCCGCCGCCTCATCCCCAGCGCCGCCCCTTGCGCCGAGGAACCAACAGCCCGCGCCACCGCTCTCCCCGTCCTCCGGCAGCAGACGGCTCGCGCCCGACCCCGACGTCGAAGACGACTACCTGCGCGCGCGCGCCTTCGACGAGCCGCCCGCCCCGGCAGAGTACACCCTCGATGGGTCGCTACGCCCACGGCCCGGGAGGACGCTCGTCTCGGCGCTCGACCACTACGAAGAGGCCATGGAGAAGGAGGCGCAGGGCAACATGGGCGAGAGCTTGAAGCTCTATCGCCAGGCATACCGTGTAGGCGTCTATCCAACCCCAAAGACCGGGTTTCATTAGCTGACAAAAGCCCTGTTGTGTCCCAGCTCGACCATCGCGTCGACAGGCGATACCGCGAGAAGCACTTCCCCCCGTCCTCGGGTGCCCCGTCATCCGCAGCACTACTCAAGCTGCCGTCATCGACCAACCCGTCACCGCCAAGCCAGGAAAACACAACGACAACCAAGGGCGCTGCTGCTACCACAGATGACCCGACCCCCCAGTTCCAATCCACCGCCGACCTCATCGACTCCTTCTCCCACCTCGCTATCGTCCCCCCCCCGCCCGATGTCGAAAACACTCCCTCGCCGCCATGTCCCATCGCCTCCCTCCCCTCGGAGCTGCTCGCCCACATCCTCTCGGACCTCGCCGCCGCCGACCCGGGCGCCTTTGCCGCCGCCGCCCTCGTCTGCAAGCGCCTTGCCTACCTCGTCGCCACCGAGCAGCGCATCTGGCGCCGCGTCGCCCTCTCTCCGGACCACGGTTTCCCCGCCATGCACTACCGCTTCAACCGCACCGTCGAGTGGGCCGAGCTCGTCGACGACGCCGGCTTCGTCGACTCGTCGGAATCGCGCAGGGCAGCCGAGAGCGCGCGGGCGGCGGCGACGGCGCTCGTGCCGGGCGTCTGGCCCTCGTGGCGCGACATGTTCCGCTCGCGCCCGCGCATCCGCTTCAACGGCTGCTACATCAGCACCGTCAACTACGTCCGCTCCGGCCAAATGTCCACCAACCAGGCCACTTGGGGCGGCAGCCCCGTCCACATCGTCACCTACTACCGCTACCTGCGCTTCTTCCGCGACGGCACCGCCATCAGCCTGCTCACCACCTCGGAGCCCGCCGACGTCGTCCACCACCTCACCCGCGACCTGCTCCGCCTCCACCGCGACCGCCCCCACCATCACAACAACCACAGCCATCAGCATCAGCACCAACATCTCCCCTCGGCGCCCATGCGCCTCGCCCACCGCGGCCGCTGGCGCTTAGGCTCCCCGCCGGACGACATCAACAGCAGCAACGACGGCGGAAAGAACGACGGCGAGGCTGCCCTCTGCATCGAGACGGAGGGCGTCGGCCCCCAGTACATGTACCGCATGGACATGGCCCTGCGCAGCGCCGGCCGCGCCGCGCGCAACAACAAGCTCGTCTGGAGGGCCTTTCACAGCTACAACAAGCTGACCGACGACTGGGCCGAGTTTGGGCCCAAGAACGAGAAGCCCTTTTTCTTTAGCCGCGTGAGGAGCTACGGTATGGGCGAGTAGCAGTTCCTCAGGGGGGCGGGAATTCTAGCCATCTGTATTGTATATTACTCATGCATTGTCCTGGAAGGAGATAGGTGGGGAGCATGACCGAGTCAAAGAGGGCGCCAGTCAAGACGACCGGGTTGAGAACTCACTATGCATGCAGACTTTCGCCTGGCACGTGTCACGGATCCGAGCCTGCCAAATGATGACGTTACTTTGCATCACTGCATCTCTGTCCCATCATATGTACTTCATAGTTCAAGAACCGTCCGAGGCCAACCTCCACGCCCATTCCCCGGTCCATCCGAAGCGCCATCCGAGACGACCAAGTACATATATGGAAGATGAGCCAAATCAGATGTTTTATCACGCACAAGAAATGCTTCCCTCGTAGCCAATCGCTCAGGCGCCAACACGCTGCCTGCCCATGGATATACGCAGCCATTAAAGATGATGGCAATGGTAGAAACGGGTTAAGCTCAAGAAATAAAAAACAAAAACAAAGAAAATGTCAAGAGTTGCCCCTGTCGAAAGCCAGGGACGAATCGTCAGGCGACCTTGGGTCTGCGCGCATGTTTGTGCAAAGCGGTTGAAGCGAGGATAACGGCGTGGCAAGGCAGCGCACGCTCCATGCTTCTGGGTATCAACTGCGAGGTCAAAACAATGGGTATGATATGAGGGTGGTGTAGAGCAAATTCTCGTCCCGAGGCTGTTTGGTGAGGCGACTTGCGCCGTCTTGGGCGGCGGTTAACAGCCATCCTTGTAGCGAGCGCCTCTCCTCACCGTATTCTGCGTCCGTCGAGGAATCTCGGGCTATTGCCGTCGTAGTAGCGATCCATCTGAGACCGAGCCTTACGAGCCTCGAATTCCGCCCGCTCTTCTTCGTCGAGGCTGAAGGCCTTCTTGAACCAGCCAAACGTGCTCTTCTTCTTCTTGAGCGACTTGCCTTCCCCATGGGACCGACCCGTCGGCGTCACCGCACCGTCGTAGGCCCCCAACGTGGCATCACTGGGTGTCCTCACGCTGCCTAGTTGAGACGGCTGGTTGCGCATTTGGTGTGAGCTAAATTGCGAGGCGCGGGGCCCCATGGCCGTGTGCGGTCTCTGCTGAAGAGGCGAGTGCGGCGAAGCCTCGACGGGGCGGTAGTATTGGAGGTGATCAGAACGTGGCGAGTGTACCATGTGCGGACGCACTGGAGGAGACAGGCTGGCTTCCGAGCCCGCGTGTGAGCCTTGCTGGAGGGACTGTGCCTCGGTGTCGGAGCAATACGCAGAGTCGAACGGCTGCGAGGCGGTCGACCGAGGCGTGGCGTACTTGGACGACGGCCTGGGAATCGACGCATCCGCGACAGACCTCGGAGGTATGTGGATATCATCAGGCACAATGGATTTGAGCGACATGCGCTGGCGGAGAGAGCCATGCGTGGCTTTCTTCACCGCGTTGCCATCATCTGCCTGGACCCTTTGCTCAGGCTTGGGCGTAATGTTTGCGGCTTGGTTGAGCGCAGGTGACGGAAGCTGCTCGGGGGTTCGTGGCGAGTAGATGCGAGGTTGGAGAACGTACAAGGACTCGTCGGTCGACGAATCGAGGCGTCCGCCCTCCTTTAGGCCATTGAGCGAGCCGAGCTCGAGAGACGAAGTCGATGGTGCGGATGTTTGCCGCCTCGACTGCCGCGAATCAACCGAGTCGTTGGGGGCATGGCGAGCCATGGAGCGGCTTGGCAAAAACGGCGGTACGGGAGGCACGACGCCTCTGGCATCTGTATCGTCTACGACTCCCGGCATGACCCCGGACGAGGAGACGCTGCGGATGCTAGACTGCTGGCGGTGAGGCTGTCTCGGGTCAGACTGTCTCGACGAGACCCTCGAGTGGGTGGAAAGAGACTTGTCGCCATGGGAGCTGATCGAGGGGGACGAGTAGGGTGGAATTTTGGCCTGCCGCCAGTCAGTCGTCTGCAGCGGCAGGGAACAAGAGCATCGGAGATTAAAACGAAGGAAGCGAGGAAGAAGGAAGAATAAAGGTGGAGAGCCTCACCCAAGTCCTCCGGCTGACCTCACCGGCCTTCTTCTCCATCTCAGCAATGACAGTCATGAGCCGGATGAGGAGGTTATTGACTTCTTGAGCGCGGTCGTGGATGTCGTCAAAGGCCAAGAGCCAGCCCTCGGCATTGCCCTTCATGGCATCAAAAACATCGGCCACGTCTGGGCGCTGGGTCCTCCACTCTGCATCCCTCTGATCGTTGAGCCAGCTGGTAAAGGCGGCGGTGCACTGCAGGCCAGCATCGATGTCGTTGTCCCACTGCTTCATGGCGATGTCGGTGCGGGATAGAATATGGTCGATCTTTTCGTTGGCCTCGAGGATGCCACAACGAAAGCTGCGGTCCTCGAGAAGCTCTTCAAAGGCCCCCAACTTGGACAGAGGCAGCTTCAGATGGTCTATGCGGGCGGTGAGGTCCGTCAAGGCCTGGCCGAGATCCTCGAGCGTGATCTCGAGGTACTCGTCCACCTCGTCAATGTGCCCCTGGAGAATGTTGATGACCTGGGCGTTGCTGTTGGCCATGCCGTTGAGTAGCAGGTAGACTCCAAAGGAGATTTGGGCGAGCAGCTTGAACAGCTCGTGTTGCTGCTGGCCAGGGCGGTACCGCCAGGTCACGTCGAAGGGTTCGGCATCCTTGTCCTGGGCTAGCAAGCGCTCTCTCCGGGCCCGCGCGTCGAGTTGCGCCAGCTTGGGCTTATCTGCGACGTTGCCGTTGGTCACCTCGTCCAGGGACTCGGTGAAGGCGTCTTGCAGCGATGGAATGGGATGGATGGGGATGTTGTGTGACGTCGGCGTCAGCGGCGGGCCGGGTGATTGGGCTTGGACAATCGAACGTCGGTCGGAGACACGGCCATCGGGGCCGGCGGCAGCGGAGTCGGAGGCATCGGGGTGGTCGGCGTCGGAGTTGGGAAAGAAGGAAATGGAGATGCGAAGACCGCCGTCGCCTTCGGGCAGTTTGAGCGACGGGAGCTGCTGCGTCGACGTCATGGCCGAGGCGGACGAGGGTCGGCTTGGAGAATCTGCAGCGAGCGGCAAGGTGGGGAGATGTTTCGGGGGGGCGTCTGCCGCCTGGGCCGCGACCCCCGAATGGGCGATGATCAACGAGGCAGAAGCAAGGTGATGTTTGCTGGAGAAGGAAGCAAGCGGCGGGGTTTAGGGCACAGCGCGAGGGGAAGCGGAAGGAGCAGGCGAGGAGGAGCGAATCGACAGGTCGTGAGGTCGGGAGGGGGCAGCAGCTCAGGCCATGATACTGTGTGTAGATGGACGAGGATGAGTGCCGGTGGAGGACGAATGGCTGGCGAGACAGTTGAACAAGTCGGGACAAAGGCGGTAGGCGACGCGTGTGACTCGTGGAGGGGGAAGTCGGGGGCAGGAGACGGGCGCGGGTGAGACGTGTAGATGCTGGAGACGAAAGTGAGACAAAAAGAGGGACGATCCTGACAGGCAGGTCGACAGGGACCGGGCCGGCAGCGGTTGACGGCGAGGCCGCAAAGGGGAGGTGTCTTGGTGGAGCGACGAGTCAGTGCAGACGACGGCCGAGCGATGGCACCATTTGCGACGGCGGCACACACTCGCAAAGGTGGGTTGCTTGCTGGTGGGCGACGGTGGGCTGTATGGAGAGAGGAGAGGAGAGGAGAGGAGAGGAGAGGAGAGGAGAGGAGAGGCGATGATGGATACCAAAGGCGATGGCGGTGGTGGTGGAGGTGAAATACCTACTGGGCTACGGATACTGGTACGTAGTAGGCTACTCCCCAGGGTCGGTTGCTGCTGCGCCGTGCCGAAGCCGATGCACTGCTGGCTACACGTTTTGGCGTCCACGCCATTTTGGTGTTGCCCCTCTTCGCACCCACTAAGCCCGTCTTGGGGCGAGGGCTGCAGGCATGTACATGCAGGTACGCATCGAGTACATATGCACAGCACAATACAAGTGCACGCCGATTACCTAAGGCACATGCCGGCATGCTCGCACCACCGACAAACAGTCGGCGAGATGTGCCTGTGCATTTGCATGGCGGCGCTCAGCTGGGGCGTCTTTCACGCTTCGCATTCGTGTGTGTTCCTCGTCGGCTTTGGTGTGTGTGCTGCGAGAGGGACCGGTTGGCCTGGCGCAGAGACCCCTCTCCCCTGAGCGGGTACCTGGCCAGGAGCTGGATACCTGCAAGGTACAAGCGTCGATGCCAACGCCGCCCTGCCGCCGCCAACCGTCGGCGTACAGTAGGTACCTTGTAGCCTCTCCTTTCTTTTTCCCGCCTTGCTTTCTTTCCCCCTCTCGACGCGTGGCTCCCACCAGGAACAAGGTCGGCCGTTGGGTGCCGAAGACAAATGCATGTCCAGCTCCTTTCTTTTTCCTCCTCGTTGCGCGCTCTATCCGCGCGCGAGCCATCTCAACCCCTGCACGCTGCATATCTGCATACGCCCTCTACCTGCATGTACATACCCCGTACAGGCATAAGGCACACGCACACGCACACGCACACGCAACCGTGTCACGACTTCGCCTCCAACAGTTTAAATGAGACTGAGGGTAATCAAACTCGCTCGTCATGCGCGTTGGCCAATCGTGCTTGGCGTCTTCATGCCCCTCTCGTCTCTTGTCCGGAAACACGGCCGCTCTATTGGCCTGCGCTGCGACAGGAGAAATTCCACGAGCCAATTCCCTTCGTCGTACACGGTCTGTGCTGCCTGGGCTGCCTGGGGAAGGCAACGACGATTCGCTGTGCGGGATGCCTTGGGCCCTGTTTGGGGCGTACGGCAGCGTCCAGCCACGGTATACGAGTTGCATGCAGCGGTTCGCCGAGGCTGCATCGAGTCTCTGCCGACTGTAGGACAAATGGTCCAATGGGAGCGGTCCATGCCGCGTTGCCAGCCGTCTCCGAAGTGCAGCGCAGAGGAAGCTGTGTACTTGCATCTCGTAACTTATCTGCTGCAAGTAAATCAGCCATCGAATTCTTATACTTTGCCCTTGATCCCGTGGCGTCTCTAACGAGTCGAACCACATTGTAACCGGCATGGCTTCGGTCCGCAGGTGCTCTGAGCGGCGTCATCAACAAGGACTCGGTGCTGCTGGAGTTTTCTCACGTCACGATTCGACAGTCTGGTTGGGTCGGAAGCTGCAGCACGTGTTTCACCATGTCCTTGAGCTGGCCATTGCAAGACGCTTCAAGGGTCTATAAGACAGGGCTGATTGCGTGTTTGTTACACGAGGCGTTGATGTGCAAGAGAAGAGCAGAGACGCTACGAACAGGACGCTTTCGTTGAGACATGTAGGCCGTGGCTTCGTGCAAGTCGGAGAGCCTCCAGCCAGCTGACAGACAGCCCCGGCGCCCTCCGCCTGGCCTGGCCGCCATGACCGCTCGGCCGTGCAGGTCCGACAAGTCCTCCGGGCCCCCCCGCCCGTCCGTCCGGTCTTGTGCGCTCAGACAGGCGCCGCGTGGTCCCCCGGCCAAGGCCTCGGGTCTACTTTCTACAAAGCGCAAAGTATGACAAGCCCCTTTTCTGACCGGCTTACAAAAATGGACTATGTGGCTTGAACCATTGATGTCTGTACAATTTCTATGTTAAGGGATTGCTCCAAGGTCCGCTTTTAAACGTTTTGTTACACGCCACATGGAAGCACGGAACTCGTCGCCCCCAACTTCATTTCGATTAATGACTAGCGATGGTGCCGAGTGAATGTTGGTAATGTTGGTAGGAGACTGGTTACTGTACGCACGTGGAAATGAGAGAAATATCCATGTATTCGGGTGAATTGATCGCGTTGCTATTAGACTCTCGGTATCCGTATTATGTATCAACTTTGCAGGCCAGATCGCCAGACTCGAGACGCCCAGGCCTTTGTTCTTTGTCGTCACTCCCCTTTCCACTGCAGTCCTCGGCCAGAATCTCGTCATCAGCCGTCCCGGCCGGCGTCAAAGACCCGGACGCCGTTGCCGAAGGCGCTCCCGGGTGTCCCCGATCTGCCCGTCCGTGCATGACGACGCCAAAATACGAAGTTGCATATTTTACATACAAACAGCAACCGGGAGAAAAAAGGCAAATCCATACATACATCGGCAAGGTATTCAATTGCGGCATGAATCTGCCTCCGGTCGAGGGGGAGAGGAGCCCCAATCGTCAGAGGGGGCGGTTGATCCTGGCCCAGGTTGAAACAGCAAGCCCGAGATAGGGGGATGAGCTGCAGCGACCGGCAATCGACGGTGCTGCGGCCCGCAGGTGTGGTGACGGACCTGGGGGCATGGCCATCCAAAGCGACAGCTCAGTTCGCGATGCTACCCTGCCTGGGCCCGTCACAACCCGCTCGGGTTTAATCTTTACTGTAATTAATTACAGTACATGTAGGATGCATACTAGGTAATGTATAATCCCTCCGCGGATCCCTCGACAACACCCGCCACGGCCCCCGAAGAACACGGTACGGTCTGTAGCCCTCCCTCGCCCACCGGCGAGGGATGGTCCGATCAAACCCCCCCAACGAAGGCCGAGGCCAACAAGGCCTCCGGCGTCCCGGCGCCGAGAGTGGGGCGGGGATGCCGCATCCGGCATGGCTACGGACCGCACGTTCTCTTCCTTCTCGTAGCGTTTGCTTTTTCTCATTCGCCCCGAGCTTACGTCCTCTCCACTCTTTACGGATACGGGTAGCAGTAACCTTAAGTACCTCGTACCTTGCATCAAATTCTTCCCTCCCCCCCCCGGCAAGATGCCTCGCCCGAGCTGACAGGCGGCTGCAGCACAATCCGGCGAACCTCGTCCCAACTCCAGTCGTCGCCATCGCCCTCATCTGCCGAGACAAGCATGGCCCGCGGCTTCTTGTGCTTTGGCTCCGGCCCCTGGGATCCCACGCACCGCTTCCACACCTCGTGGCTGCTTGGGCCCTGGGCCCTCTTCTTCTGCCGCGCCCTCATCGTGAGTTCTTCTCTTTTCTCCCTGGCCGTCCGTCCGTCTGCTGTCTGTCTATCTATCTGTCTAACAAGGTGTCCGTCCGACTCGAGCAGTCCCTCTGGGCCTTCACAACCATCTTCTTCATCATCGGCTGGACCTGCGCCCACCCAGCCTCCCTCGGCGGCTGCCCCGAAGCCCGCCGCTCCTTTTCCTACTTCACCATCCTCGCCTACTGGGGCCAGGCCTTTTACTTCTTCTTCGCCGCCGTCCACACCCTCGTTTACGCCCTCACATCGCGGCCCCTGCTCGCCCGCCTGCCCCGTCCCCTGCAGGCCCTGCACTCGCTCTTCTACTCGTCCGTCGTCACCCTACCCGTCATCGTCACCGTCGTCTACTGGGCCGTCCTCTACCGCAGCCCCTGGTTCCCCCTCGTCTTCGACGCCTGGCGCAACCTCAGCGAGCACGCCCTCAACTCGGGCCTCGCCCTCTTCGAGATCCTCGTCCCCCGCACCAACCCCTTGCCCTGGATCCATCTACCCTGGCTCGTCCTCTGCCTGCTTGGCTACCTGGCTGTTGCCTACATCACCGTCGCCGACCAGGGCTTCTACACCTACAACTTCCTCGACCACGACAAGGTTGGCGGCCGCGGATATGTTGCTGCCTACGTCTTTGGCATTGCCATTGGCCTCGTCGTCGTCTTCTCCGCCGTCCACGGGCTCATCCTGCTGCGCCGTTGGCTGACCGAGTCCAAGCTCGGCATGAAGGGCAAGTTTGCGGGGTTGCCCACGATGACGACAACTGACGCCGAGATGAATGTTGTCGAGCCCGGGGAGTCTCGGTCCAAAGAGGCAAAACCGTTGACATCGCCAGCGCAAATGTAAAGGAATAGACATCATGAACAAGGTCGGGTCATGTATGGGAGTGACTATTCCGACGCCCAGGGGCATGGTTAATGAGGATATTAATGGACAATTACATACCAGTTTCATAGCTTCAGAGCACATGACGGCCCCTGTGCCATTTCCTCGGCCGGAATATCGTCTTATATCATGATGCCATTGCTTGGTCCGCCAGCGCCCACGCAGCTTTGTTTCGAGGCATCGTCTCAACATTTAAGCGTCACGCCCTTCCTCTTCTCCGCCTCCCGAATCTCAAACATAACCTGGACCCCCACAAACAGGCACGAGCAGGCCACAACCAGGAACAGGAGGCCTGCGAACCCGTCAGCAAGGCGCTCTCCGCGCTAGACAGGGGATCCATGGCAACTTACCAGACCAGTCGTGTAGAATCGCCCTGACAATGCTCTCCAGCCCGTCCAGGCCGACGGCAAACCCAACCAGATTCGCCGCCATCATCATGATCACGTTGGCCACCGCGCCGACGCAGCACAGCATGCGATATGCCGTCGGCCGGCTCTCCCACTTCCTCTTGGGGAACAAGTAGCTCGCCGTCCACTCTGGCACCATGAACAGCACAATGAGCCAGCCCCAGATGAGCAGCCGCAGCTGAATGTCGTGCCAGAGGGCGACAAAGCTAAAGACCAGTAGGTACGACACGATTGACTGGGCCACGGCCCGCCAGTTGCGGAACGAGGCCCCGCCGAGCGGGATGAACAGGTACCGGATGAGCCAGCGGTTATACGAGCGGTGCCAGGCGCGCCAGAAGAGCTGCGTGCTGTAGTTGTTGCTCACACAGCGAACCATGTTCTCGGGCGGGTCGATGCCGTCGACGAGCGCCCACAGGCGGAACATGCGCCACGGGAGGAGCAGCTTCAGCCAGATGATGTGGAGGTTGAAAAAGGACAGCAGACTCAGCTGCGCCGCCGTGTACTCGCTCCACACCGGGCTGGCCTTGCTGATAGCCCCGACGTAATCGTAGTGCAGCACCAGCTCCATGGCCAGCAGCACGAGCACGAACCGGACGGCGTAGCGGATCGTGCGGGGACGTTCAATGCTGGCGCACCGGTGCTTGAGCTGCGCGATGTAGTCGTTGAAGGTCAGTATGGGCCCGGCCAGGTACAGGGGCGCGTACACAGCATACGCCACGTAGTTGCGAAAGGTAAAGTCCCCGACGTCGGCCGGAAGGGAGATGCGGTCTCTCTCCGACAGGTTGGCTGGGTCCAGTTGCTTCTTCTTGGACGGATTAGCTAGACTTCCTCTGGCCGGGGTCGTCATGGCCGGCACATACCTCCAAGGAGTTGCTGCTGCGCTTGTCGATGCTCCAGTAATAGTCCATGTTGAAGCTGATGAGGCGCAGGACGCTAATGTTGAAGAGCACCTCCCATCGCGACACGAGCCCTCCGTAGCCGTCGAGCCACGCGCCCCACTGGACCAGGGCCGAGTCGGCCGGCGCAAAGCGGGTGGCCAGGGGCTGCAGGCGGTATCCCTCGCAGAGCTCGTTGGCAAAGAGGGTCGAGATGTTGAACGCCCACGTCGCCGCGGGAATGTACCTGCGCGGCAGCTTCTTGGCAATCTGGAAGTTGACATGGAGGATCAAGAGAACCTTGAAGGCCGAAACGCCATGCAGGGCGACGAGGAAGAAGAGGGCAAAGGCGTAGTCGAACGAGGCGCGCTGCTCAAGCCGCCCCTGGCCGCTCGAAGAGGCGCGGCGGCCAGACGACGGGTAGATTGCGTTCCAGGCCCGCCTCAGCAGTGGATGCAGGACGAGGAGCGCGCCCATGTAAGGGAGGTTCTCGCGGAAGGTGTGGTACTGGGGATCCGACACGTCGACCTTGCGTCCGGGGATCCAGCCGTCGGACAGGAAGCGTTCGTACTTGTGGTATCGCGGGTCCGATGCTATTCTCCAGCGTCAGCACGATGCGCCCCGTCATGCCGCCGGGCCACTCACGTCGCGAAACATGGTACGCGGTCCAGAACATGTACGGGACGGCCAGGGCGAAGACGAGGTAGTAGAGGTAGAACTCGGGCGTCCGCCACATGGGGGGCTGCGCCCGGGCCTGGGCCTTGGCCGCCGACTCGCGGCTCGTTGCGGCATCGCTGCGGGCATCGATGACGGTCTGGTAGGGGGCGGCGGAGGAGCTGGTGAATCGCGTGTCGAGCGTGTCGAGGTCGTAGACCTTGCGGAGAAAGGACAGCGTTTCCATGTCTTGTGCGTTGTCGGGCGACGAGGATATTTTGCTCGGAAGGGGAGCTTAGGCCATTTTGCTGGCGCACCAAGTGACCGGCCGATAAGGACGGATGCAATGATCCAGGGCGCGAAGAAAGAAGCGACAATGGACAATGGACAAAGAACGAGTGGCGGCGGGATGGGAGAGTCAAGAGGGAGCGTCTTGGCATTGATGGTGGACGGACAAGCCCCTCCTCTAGTGGAGCTCCCAGTCGGGTTCACGGGGGCCGAGGCTTGGTGGGCTTCAACTGCTCAGTATCCATGTATTACCAGTACTTACGAATACCCCGTATACCTTCAGTGCCTCGAGGTTCGTCATGGGCGCCATTATAGACTAATAATAAAAGCCAGTGAAGCCCCCAACGCAAGTCTGCGTCAACAATGCCAGCCCCCAGCAATGCTTGGATCCGAGTGCGCCGCCATTTTTGTACACGGTGGTAAATCAACACACAGCGAGCAGAGACGCTTTTCCCTCAACGCCATGCCACAGCAAACCCCAACTCCCTTTATCCCATTTTCGCCCCTTGCAATCCACGTCACGTCGCTTGCGTTCTGCAGCTTCAACCGATACGGCCATCTCAGGCTATGGCCGCTTGCCTCGCTTGTCCCGCCGCTTCTTCCTCGCCCGAGCCTTGAGCGTGTCGTCGTCCCGGTATTCCTCGGGCAGGACAAAGTCCGTCTCGGCCATCTCAGGCACCGCATGGCCCCAGGCGAGTACCTTTCTCCCCGTGCGGCGGTTCCGGTTGAGGGCCCCGTCGCGCTCGTGCTTCTTGCTGAAAAAAGACTTGAACGCCTTGGGCGGAGTCGGCCGGGCAGGTGCTCGCGGCCTCTTGGAGCCTGTGCCGGCCGCCATCTGCGACCGCGCCATGGCTTCCTGGCGAAGCTGCTGGGCCGGCGACGAGGCTTCGCTGGCGTCGTCCTGTGACGTCGTCGAGATTTCCTCCATGTCGCGACGCGCACTGCGTCTCGCCTCTTGTCTTGCATCCTGCTTCGGCCCCGGACCATCGTCCCGCTTCTCGTCCTCTGCGGCTTGCTCCGCCATGGCCCGCTCCTTTTCCTGCTTCCGCCGCTTCTCCTCCAGGCTCCAGTTGCGAAACTTGTCCAAAATGCTCTGGCAGCCCTTGATGAAATGGGCGCGAGCCGGCTCAAAGGATTTCTTCTTGGTCTCGGTGACGCCGCTGACCCCCATTACCCTCAGCCAGTCGTGGCCCTGCAGACCCTCGAGCAGTCGGATGATCTGGTCCTTTTCGTGCTGCGCGCGCCCCTTTTCTGAATTGCGAATCGACCGTTCCAGCCGTTCGGCCTTTTTGTGCACAGGCTCAAACAGGCGGTCCGGCAGTGGGTCCTCCAAGTTCTTGCTGTTCTGCTGGGTCTCTAGGAACCCAAAGTCGATTCGCTGCGAGTCGAAAACGTCGGTATAGAGTGAGTCGCCATAGCCTTTGACGGGAAAGTCGGCGGGTTGGTGGGGATCTGGTGCTACACGCGGCAGTTCTGGTGGCACGACGCGTCGGCGATCCGAATCGACAATAACAATGGGCGTATCGAGGGTGAACAAGTCTAGACTGCCATCAGAAGGGGATTGGCCATGGAAACGCGGCGAGGCGAAGGGGGCAAGAGAGGCACAAACACTGTTCTTTGGGATCATTGCCAATGACCTCGTCGTAGTCGGGAAAGTATGCCGATAGCTCGCTCTTGAACCTGGTGGCTTCCTGCGAGCGGAGCGTCCGGCCCTGCTTCTTTGTGCCCGCCGGCTCTGGCAGCAGCTGGCCCAGCCCGTGATTGATGCCATTGATGGCTTTTGCTTGGTGTTTGGTCAGGTTCGGGTCGGACTCGGCGCCGGCCTGCGCTGTTGGCGCGGCGCTGGACGCGGGCAGTAGCTCTGGCCTGCTGCTACTACTGCTGCCGCCGACGCTCGTCGCCACGAAGGGATGCTGGCGCGGCGCGGGACGTCTGATGCCGCCGGGCCCGTCGGTGGGCGCCGTCCGGGCCAGGATCTCGACAGCGATCCTCGCCTTCTTGGACCGCAGGGCCTCGAGGTCGCGCTCGGGGGCTTCGAGGCCGCGCTTCTGGCGCCCCTCGTCGTGGTACAGGGCGGCGGCGGCTGGCCCAGAGCGCGGCGCGTTGTGGTGATGGTGATGCAGGCCTTCAGCTCGCCGGGTGGAGCGAGTGAGGGAGGCCATTGGCGATGGCGTCGAGGCCTGGCATGGTCTTGTCGCTTGCCTATCGGAGCCGCTCGCGCAAGTCCAGGCGACACGGTCGAGGCGACGCGTTTTTCTGCTCTGGTTTCGCCGCTGTTTGTCGATGCAGCGAGTGGTGGAGGGAAAGGTACCTGGAGGAGAGGGATCACGGCGGCTTCAGCAGGCACGACGGCGATGGGGGAGACGGATGGCAGCTACAGCGGTTGGGCATCGTCCGGGCACGCTGTAGTCGGGTTGCCACAGCGCACTGCGAGGGGGTCGATGGGGGCAATTACAGCGGACTGGTGGCGCACACCAGCCCGCCAATTGCGGGGGTGTATTTTCGTCTCCTGGGAACCGACTGCCCCTCGAGTTCAACCACCAGCGTCCGTCCTTTTCGACTGCTGATCCGTCATATGAGCGATGCCCCTGCTGTTCTGTGCCTGAGGCACTGTCGCGATGCCTCGCTTCACCCATTGAGACGATAATTGAGGCCCCTGGCCCCGGGGTGCAGTCTCGCCGAGCGATTCACGGCTCGATTTGTTCCCTTCCCTGTTCATTCACCTCGACACCGAATGCTCTGGTTGCCTTTCCGCCAGGCCCTCACCCGCCTTCATCCATCTCCATCTGGTCGGAACGAGCTCAATCATCCAACTTTGGGTTCTTGGAGCGCCCCGCCCGCCATGGACCGGGGCCACTCTCAACCTCAGCCTTGATTGCGGGACAAGAGATCCAGCTAGCTTCAAGGCGCTTTCTGGAGTTTCTGGCGGACCAGAGCCTACCTGAAAACCACTGCGTCGGACAACGACAGAGGTAGCTCCAGCAATTGCATTACTGGCGCGTGTTATCGAGTCTTCCCTACCAGGCAAGCGACTGCCCTCTCCCTGGATTCGAAAACCTCAACGAGTACGCACGAAATCTGGTCCGGCCGTGCCGTGAAGCAGTCACGGACAAAACAGCCGAACGGGCTGTCCACTGCCACGTCCCTCTTGTGGTATCAGCGCGGGCACACGAGCATCGGTTTTGCCTTTTTCCTGTCTGCAGCAGGATGATTTCAGCTTTCATTATTGAAAGAACAAGGTCCACAGTACGTCCAACGTCGCCGTCGGCGGACTGAGGCTCAAACCCCCTCCCACGACTCTTCACGGCATACTAACAAGCAATCACAGCCTCTACTGGACCGACTGTGCCATGGGCCGTCGAGACCGTCGGCTCGACTCACCATGTCGGAGGCTGAACGTTCACCTTTGCCAGGCAGAGCTCCGAGGCAAAGCTGCCAGACAGACCTGGCGGCTAAAGCAGTGGCCGACATCGACCACAGACAGCTGTCAGGGCCAGAGAAGGCTTCACAAAAAAATGGCGGCTGTTTGGTGGGTGGCGTCCTCTAAGGCGGTGCGAGTAGAGTTTGCGTCGGCGAGGACAAAGCTGGCAATAGTGCTGGCGGAGGCGAAAACCGTGCTGACGCGCATCTTGTTGGCGAAGGTAAAGAAGGTTGAGACTAAGGATATGGAAGGAATCAGGATGAATAAGCAGAGAATAAGACTTCGGAGAGCGAATCAAGTCAGCCCACTGAGCTGCTGGGTTTGCTGAGCAGTTTGTCAATATCACGGGGAGATCTTTATGGCTCTTATATAGAGTTGATCGGAATGGCAATTAGAATGGCATGGTTCGAAGCCGGCCTTATCACTAACTAACGACTACAAAAATCTTCATTACTTCCGCCGCCGGTTTGAACGTGCAAGCTGCCAGGATATGTGTGTATATCCCCCCTTATCGACCACAAAAACGGCTCGATTATCCTTCGGAGAACTTGCTGGCATCCCCTGGCGGGCCTATGTTATTGCTAAATCGAATGAGAAGGCATTCAGTGGCCAGAGTAACCCTATTCTATATGTTACATCATGAATTCAGACTTTTCAACTTATCATCGCTTGGCAGTGAGCTGCGAATATAACCTGTTTTGAGTACCAATACCGGTTTCGAGATAAAATTTTGTTTCAAACTCACATGTAGGAGTTTTCGGGATCTGAGCCAGGAGGTGTTCTCGGGCGAGGAGGAGCGCGCGTGGGGGTTTTCGATTTGCATCTTAACTTTGCCCGTAGACGAGGTACAGATAGCAATCAACACGAGATAATTTACTCAAGTAGAATGAAGGGTATGTTCTTTCCCGCAATGCTCTCGTGTGAGTATGCGCTGCGTACCGCACCCGCAAGGACGCCGTCTTACGCATCAGTAACAATGAAAGACGAGGCTATAAACAACCGTTTATGCCCTACGGCGATGCCAGTCTGTTTCATTGCTCGCTCGACGTTTTCAGTTCTTTCGTGTTGTCTAGTCCGCATCACATGCTTCTTCATTCCGTGATGCTTCTAGGGGACTAGTATCCAGGAGCCCCAATTGCCTGACAAAGAGATCGACCCTCTGTCCGGGCAATGTCTTTTGTGAGGCCATCTGCAAGCATCGCCTCGGGTATTCGCCAGGCTCAGTTGTCCCAGGGCGGAGGAGCGCACGGCTTACAACGATCAGGTGGCTCAGAGATGGATTGTAAAAGGTTGTCCCTGACTCAGATACCAACAAGGCGCGGTGGCACACCACCAAGATGCCTTTGGTTACGCCCATGACCCTGCAATCATCCTGTGACAACAGCAAGCCAGAACACGCTGCGTACTGTGATGGACTTCCAAGACCCTCCTGCTCAGCTCAGATGCGGCTTAAGGAGCAAATAATGGCTATCCGCAAGTCGTCCGAACCTCAACTGCCATCGCCTTGTTGTTGCCACCGGGCCCGAAATCAAGTTCATCCTGTTCGCAACTCCATAAACACTAAGAATCTTGGCACTGGGCTTACGTTAGGTGCCATAGGGTTGCCCTGGCAAGGGACCTTTCTGTGATCTCGGGGCCGCTGTCTCTGGGACCTCGACCCTAGAATGTGGCTCCCTAGCTTCTGGGGCCTTGGCCGTAGTATGTGACGTTGCTCTCTGCGTTGCCTTGGCCGCCTTGAGTTCCATGTTGAGCTTTTTCTCCTTATTATACCACTCCTTCACTTGCGCATTTGTCCCTCCCTGCATTGAGCAGTCCGGTGATGTGCGCCAATGTCGATGCAATGTCCTGTGCCGAAGTCATGGTAGATTACTGACGGCTGGGAGCGCTAGAGGCTCTGAATGAGATGACGAGAAATTCAGGTTGATTGATTAACGGAGAAGAAGCCGAGTATGTCTACGACTAGAGGCGTATTTAACACTATGTTAAATAACGTGTGTGAATTATTATGTTATACACTACATATCCCCGGCAATACATATACAAAGTATGTATTAGAGTAAAAATTAGTAGCATGTTGTTCATTATTGTTCTGCTATAATATATTTGAGGTGAGTTAAACAACAACGTAGCATGTTTCCGTAGATGGCTTCAGATAACACTGAAGTTATAAGATATTCTAAAACAGCCTATAGCTCTCTATTTGATATCTTGAGCAATAAGTAAGAAACTTATATTGCGGGTGGCTTTGGTTTCTCTACTTTCTTCATCTCCATCTCTTTCTCTGCCCTAGTCTCGCCCACTATTACCTCGTTGCCAAGCTGGTAACAGCTTCCTCCTTTGCTGTCAATCAGATCGGACTCATCTGGGGAGTTATCCTCCATGTTGTCACATGTTTGTATATTCCGACTCGAAGCCAACTGATTGAAACAAGTTCCTGGTCCTATCGATGGCTTTCTTTTCCAGCGCATTTCCGTCAATATCATCCTGCAGAGGGCCTCCGATCATCTCCTGTATGCCGGCTACCCAGCGATCAGTGTCCCGAGTAGCTTCTCCAAAGCGTGTATCCGTCTGCTTGAGCTTTCCTCACCCGGCTGTAAAGGATTGCGCTGCAGCCGCAGCAATAGCTAGCTTGAAATTTTCCGCCTCCGTTAATGTCATCTTGGCACTGCGTGATGCCTGACAAGGTGCCCTCTTATCTCCGCATGGCTTCCAGGCTCGATAGACTTTTCCTGTGGTCCCATGTAAGGACAAATCCGCGTCTGGTATGTGGGACACATCTGTGTGCGCAACTTGTGAATGACTGAGTGAACCGAGGGAGAAGCAATGTCCAGATATACTCGTTCTCAGATATCCTAGTTGCGATATTCAAGTAGAAGATAGCCAGTAGCATATTGGATCAACTGAACCTAGAATCCTTGGAGCTGGGGGAGAAGTCAAGCAGTATTTGCCACTCATAGACTCGTAATATTTGATCAAAGCGCTCAACGTCTCGTCCGGACTCTACCGCAATGACGACACGCAGGTCCAGTTACGACTGTCTGGATATATCGCAGAGTCGCCAACAGACGTTTCAGGCCTTGGCGTTAGTACACCCCATCTCGACGTGTCGCACGCAGGAACTCTCGGCAATATGCACTCATTGACAAGAAAAAGGGTTTGGTTGGATTCGTTGGCACTGCTTACATTGTCCTCGCGCTCTTGATAGTCAACTACCTCCTTGTGTTTGACCCGACAAAGGACCCGTTTCTGTCGCCGACGACGATCTCTCAGCATCGCCAGAGCTTGGACACGGACAGCCATGGCGTCCGAATCCTGTGGATGTCAAGTTCCTCAGGTGCGCTCGTGGTATTGGCAGATTCGTCGTGCGATTCCTGCCTTGCCCTCGCTTCCTGGCCGGTTAGTTAGTCGATAGTGAGCAGGTATTCAACGAGGCAAGGCCCAAGTTATATGCCAGGTTGTTTAGGCTGACCAGAGTGCGATTTCACCAGGCAATTCTGTCCATGTGCGATGGCCAGGTTGTCACTGGCGCCGGAATCCCCATCAGTGGCTTCGTATGCCTATTTGATGGTCTATCTGCCTATCATTGGCAGATGATGGCTGGTCTTGCTTGGTTCTCGACTATGTCCCACTTGGCTGGACTCTCGGTAATTCGAAGCTACCTCTCTCTTTCTGCCTGGAAGAGAAACTCTCGCTTCCTCCTAATGGCATTCATCTTCGTACTGCTGCTCATCGCCCTTGTGCCCACTCGGCTCTTTGCATGGAACTGATTCAGATGAACGCTTCAAAGAACCAGGGGTTCTTGCATCAGAGTTTCTTGCACAATCCCCAGCAATCTGCTACTTTGTCTAGGGCTTCTCGGCTTCTCGGGCAAAGAAAGGAGAATTTCTTTTACGAGACAGCTCGGGAAGGCAGGCAAGCGCCTATGTATTAATGCAGAGAGGGTTGGACAGGAAGCTCTCTCTCGAGCAGATGGTGAGCTCTGCTATCCTTCTTGTCTCTGGCGTCACGGCAAGCTTGTGTAAAAAATTCCAGCCTCTCTCTCGACCTTTGTCCTCGGGGCTGAGAAGGATCTTGAGGAAGGCGACCCTTCACGTTCTGGCCTGGTTGGCGCCTGAAAGACCGTTTGATAATGGAGCGGATGGTGCTCAGCGCCGCTTTCTACGTGAAATGAGGTTTCATCTCGTGTTTCGCCCAGCCCTCGCCATCGTGTTCACCTTGCGCCTTTTCTTAGATCTTTTTAACTCCACGTTGACAGAGGGTTGTAGCGAGCGCCTGCACTTGATAGGCTTCTTGGCCACGTTTCCACTGACACTCTCACATTTAAAGGCTTCTGGATCCTTGTTCCCATGCTTTGGGGGACGTTGAAACTGGCTGTAGCTCGCACAAGCCCATCTCGCGACATGACAATCGAGGAGAATAGGTGGTCTTTTGGTTAAATACTATCCATCCTACTACTATTAGGCCCCCTTCTCAACATTATCAACATCGTCGTGTCACACTCTGAATGGCACACTGTTGATTCAAGCTCTGGATGGCCACAGGTGGAGCGACGCGCTACAACGTCGGCTCCGGAACTCGAGTTAGGCAGACAACCCGCACACAGGTCATCACCAATATAAACTCGAGCTCGCGGAGGAATTCACAATCACATTGCGGGTGGAAGCAAGGAGGTCGCATCATGGATCTCTGACCTCCATAATTGTCAAGGAAACAGTGCTACAGCCCCATGCCGGCTTGACAACCGCCTGCCTTTTCTTCGTTGGCCAAACGGTCCTCCTGTTCTTCCAGGTTCCACCAAGTACTCTGAACAACGACTCTAATTCCTCGCTTGTCGATTATTGGCAGTAAGAAACCCCTATTACTGCTGTTCCTTGCTAGGAATCTCAGTTTAGTTGGCCTTAAGGCGTATGCTGCCGGTTTAGTAAGGCGTGCGGCGGCTTTTGCACTAACGATAAGAATTAGTATCTCGAAGTTAATCGGCTGCAACCTTGGGTTTTCAACTTACCTCTCCCCGACCTCCGGGTATATTAGCAGTACACTCAAGTCCATTGCAGCACCTAGGACCGTTCAGGATCGAGGGTTGGCATGGGCCACTCTCGCGGGAACACTTAGTAGCATAGCGTTAGCATATTGCAAAAGGACAACGTTAATAAGAGCGTTACCTGTGGTGGGATTTTAAGGCACTAAGGCTCAATTAGCATGCTCCTCTCTCTGTAAAATACACGCCGGTGCGTAGATCCAAAACTACCTTTCCTCGACCTCCGGGGAGGTTGGCATTACATTGAAGTCCGTTACAGCACTTTGGGCCATTCCGGATCGAAGGCTGACAAGGGCCTCCTTCTCGTGAACACTGATTCGGATAATATCCTGCTAGACGGTCGCCATCGGCAGCGGCAATCGTACCAGCGGCTGCAAGGATCAAAAACGTAAACGGCTTCATAGTAATGGTGTGATTGATAGTGATTTCAAGACAAATATATGATCAGTGTCAGATTAGCGTTAGATAGTACCTAGTGTTAGATAAGTAATGGAAATAAGCTGTTATTCGGTCCCAAACTAGAGATCTTTTCCAGCTTATATATATCGGTAGATAATATGCCATATTATTGTCTTACACTCTCGTCTTACTTTAATAATTTGAGTATAAAATAAGGGTATGCTTTACATTCTTAGATGCTAGCAACGTTCCAGTGCAGTCTACTATAGTCTTATACCTACGTGATTATGTCTGCAACACGTAAGGTACAAGCAACAAGCGAATCGGGCAAGGATATATTAGCTACAGGCCATATGGATTACAAACGCCTAGCGAGGTATAAGGCTAATAAATACTCAGTATAATGGTACAGTGACATAGTATAACTAGTAATAATAACTAAAAGGATAAGTACTACTACCCTCTACCAGCTAAAGCCTTCAGAAAATCGCCCGGAATAGCGCTCCAAGCAGCCCAAATGGCGTCTTGAAGAGCTGCAAGAGATAAATGGTCCGTATCGTAATTTTGGTCAACCCAGGTCTTCATCCAAGATCATACATTCTTGATAAGGTTGAGATCAAGGAGCCTACAGCATAACCGTAATCTCGTGATATTACAACCAAAACTTGGCTAATTTTGCTGTATGTGCTGGGGTGTTATCGCGCACAACGGGGGACGTAGAAGGAAGCCCTTGCTGCTGTTGTTGCTGCTGCTGGGACTGCTGGGTAAAGTAAATAAAGCGAATTAGCGTCGAGTACGAATGGCCGCTGGTGAGCTTTTAAGGCACCCTGATATAAGATAATGGCGATGCCAGACTATCGTTTCCAGAATCCTTTTTCGACCCTGGGGCCCAAAGCCGAGAAGAAGCGCTCCAAGTGATTTGCTTCCGGCTATACCATCCGGCTATACCATGGCCGATGTCCTCCAGGATGAAAACGAGATGGACCGCCCCTTCACGATGCTGAAAAGGTGGGTAGACCGGTTCGCGGAAGCGCAAAGGCCAATGGAGCAGGACAAGTTCACCGGTTCCTGTACATACGATATGGTTGGCCAGAATCTCTTTTCTAAGCCATTAGTTTCCTGGAAGCTGGTTTCGACATTGGCAACGCCATCGCGAATACCGTGTCATTGCCGGGTACTTTTATCGTCTTCTGTCAGCTGCCACCAGCACCTCCATGGCATACAGGGTCCACTTCCACGTCATCTGTTGGAGTGTCACTTCACTTTTGCCTGCACAACACAGTGATTTTCTCACAGCTTCATACTATTATAGTCGGCAGCCCTCTCATAAATAGAACACGAATACATCCAACGGGCCATCTCCTCGATACATCAGTCAAAGCCCTTGATAAATGCCGAGAAGACACAGAAATAGGCGTGCCGCTCAGTACTGGAAGTCGGCTCTCCAATCTGTACAACGTTGCAACCGTTCTAGCTCTGGAGTCCAATGCCGTGCGCCCCTATGATCACTATGAAGGGGCTGCACTACCGGCGGAGGCGAACAAGGGTTGTAGCGGGAGATCTCCTGCGCCGCTGAAGTTTCGGATAACGCGACATCATGCGAACCTGTCGTATCGTATGGTATAGTAGCAAGCTAAAGGCTGCAACATAGCTGCCACCGACGTCCAGACTACGCATAGTTTAAGCCACCCGCTAGATTCGGGCTCGTCAATGCTTTGTAGTATCAGCAAGCCGATGCCTTTTACAAAGGAAAGAGTCAAGAGGCGAGGTAATGGCTTGTATTTTTTAAGAAAATTGAGTTGATATTGGCACATGGAACCTCAGTTTAAATTCATGTCATTAAGCCTTGTGTTAACGCTTATTTGAATCGTTTAGCTCCGAGTCCGAAAAGTCTTAATACCTTGCGCAGCGCGTCCGAAATCACCTCGACAACTGCCTTGCCTTGCGCCTTGATCTCAGGCGATGCATCGGCCGGGACTCTGGCTAAGATGTGGTTGGAGAAGGCTTCATGTCCAGCTAGCAGCATCTCTAGCCTCGGCACAAGAAAACCGGCAACCTTGGCATCCTCGAGCTCCTTCTTCTTACTAATGAGGGTGTTCACGGCGATGGGATTGTCGATGGCGAGCGTCTTATTCACGTGTTCCACTAAGCCGAGGAGGTCCTTGATGGGAATGGGCCTTGGGAGCTGGCCCGAGTGGATAGCACCGCCGGCGAGAGCGAGGTAGACGTTGGATAGAGCGGCAAGCTGGGGAGCAACGCCATGAGGCCGCCTGTGTAGGCGCTGACAAGGCGGGTGAGTCTCTTGACGTTGGTGTCGATGTTAGTGACGTCCTGATTTACTTGCTTAATGGTTGCCACGGCGAGTTCGGAGAGGGATTGCTCTAGAGGGGCGGCCGAAACGGCGGCGAGAAAGAGGACGAGGGGCTTATTAGGAGACACCATTGTGCGGTCGGGTAGATGACATTAACAACGTGGCGATACCAAGACGAGGCTCAACAGCGGCATGCAGATAAGACGTATAAATGATATCAGAGGGGCTGGAGAACTCCTTTTCAAGGGCGGGGCATTTATACGGTCTCATTCCATAGTGCGTTGTTGGTGCCCTGACTCTCTGCCATCACTCCGCAATGCTCAGCGCAGTCACATCGTGAGCTAGGCAAACCAGGTCTCTAAGTAATCAGGCCGTTGCAGATCTCTAGTACTATCACAGTACTTCATGTAAACAGCATTTTTCATTAAAATAACATCACCCGAAAAACCCCCCAAATACAGGGACTTGGTGTTCTCCTATTATACAAAGAACCAAGGACTGCAGCAGGTCTCTATATTAAGAAATGCCGCCGTGATGTGCTAACTATAAAAGAACATGGATTACTGGTTTATATATATGTGGCCCCTTTTACCTCTTACAGTGCCTTCGAGAAATATATATATATATCTGTTAAGGAGAGTAGGCATAAGAGGCTATAGTTATGCCTAGTAGACCTAATAGTTATATATAAGGAAGCCTGCCTAACTAATATAACTCCCTTAGCCTAAGGATATTATATAGGCTTAACTTAGGTATAGGAATATCTTAATGCCCTCTTTTAGCTAGCTATATATAGTCACTATACCTATATAAGCCCCTCCCTTATCCTAATAGATAGACCAAGACATACATCACTAAATTCACCTTTCTGTGCCCCTATTTCTTCCACTGTGCTCTTAAGCCCCTGCTTGAGAATATCCTATGTTCGAGGGTGCGCCATTTAAACAGTGCAAAACACGGGGGTCTACACTATACAGCGACAGTCAATACCCTTCTTCCTCGTCCACCTCACTTCTTCTTCTTCCTCGTCACTCCAACGAGCCGCCCAGCATCCAGCTCAAGCATCACGTCAGCGTCTTGAATCGTCTCTAGACGGTGCGCCACCACAAGCATCGTGCACCCGGCAAAGGCTTCGGACAAGACGGCCTGCATTCGCACGTCGGTCTCGTGGTCGAGGTTACTCGTTGCCTCATCCACCAGCACCACCTTGCTTCCCGTGCTGGCATTGTGCACGACGGCCCGCGCAAGGCACAGCAGCTGCCTCTGGCCGTGAGACAGCCCTAGAGTCGCTAAGTCGGTGTCGAGTCCTCCGCGCGAGGCCACGTGTTTCCACAGGCCAACCCGCCTCAAGGCCTCCTCCATGGCGTCATCGTCCGCCGCGACGGTCGGCTTCAGTCGGCCAAGGGGCTCAAGGTTGGTCCGCACAGTCCCGGCTAGTTCGACCAGCTCCTGTGGGAGGGTGGTGACGCGCGAGCGAAGCTGCTGGCGTGAAATTTGGGAAATGTCGATGCCGTCTATGCAGACCGAGCCTGAGTAGTCCAACAGGCCGAGGATTGACGCCAGTAGCGAGCTCTTGCCACTGTCGTGCGTTAGCTTTCCACCGAACGAGTCCATGGCCCAGGTATGGGCGGTCCTGTTTACCTTCCGGTCCGCCCGATGATACCAATCTTTTGTCCCGGCTCGATGATGACAGACAGGCCGTCGAGAACAGGGCGCGACGCTTCCTCATTGGGGCTTGAGCCAGTTTAGTGGCGCGCCCTGATATGATGCCCTTTAAAGTCCGTCAACTTACTTGTACTTGGCGCTCATGGATCCGACCTCAATCTTGCCGTGCTCAGGCCAACCCGGCGGCAACCGCGGGTCTTGTCCTCGTAGCGGATCCTTCTCAATTGGAGTATTGCGTAAGAAGGTTCGCAGCCGGGCAATGGCTCCGAGTGACGTTTCTAGATTAATCCACGCGTTGATGAGCTGGGACAGGGTTTCGCTCAGCGTCATCACGTTGATAAGAGCAAGGCCGATGGCACTCTGCGATGTCGTCGTATTGAGCGCGAATGTCACCAACACCCCGGCGATAACGAGTATAGACATATCCAGGGTCAGCGCGAGCCACCGCTGGATGCAGAACATGTAATAGTACGGCTTCTGCGAATAGTCCAACAGCCTGAGACTGCCGGCCAGCACCTTGGACTGCCAGCCAAAAGCCCGGATGTGCTGCAAGCCGGCGGCCGTTTCGGTGAGTTGTGTATAGAGGGGCGACTTGGCTTCGAGGTCGAGGTGCCGTATCTGTCGCGATGTACGCAGGTAAAACTTTTGGAGACAGTAGAGGGCGACGACGAAAAATGGAATAATAACCGAGGCGTACTTGGCTCCAGAGGCAATGATGCCAATATCGGTCAGGACGGACAAGGCAACTAAAGAAGGCCACCAGAAGCAGCAGGGTCGTCAGAAAGAAAGAACGGAAAGGGGGCGAGAGGCGTCAAAGATGAACGGATTTACGGTATGCAACTTCCATGAATGCCATGGGAAGCATCTGGCTGACAAGCGTCATGTCCTGGCTGAACCTGAACGAGGGAAGCGCGTCAGTAAGCTACAGACTCCTTTCCTCTATTAGACCAAAAGTGACACTTGCCGGTTAAGAAGAGTTCCAGAGTCGGTGGACGTAAGAAACCAAAGTGTTGCGCTGGTGAACTATATATCAGAAAACGCCAAAAGGAGCCCACGAGTAAAGGGAGGCGGCTCACTCCATGACGCTATCCAGCGGCATATGGTGCAAGTTCTCTGCCGACTTGGGCACGAGCTTGAGAAGGTAGAAGCTAATCGAACGTGTATACAGGTCAGCGTGTCGCAGAGCAAGACTCCCGAAACCGCGCTGGCACAACGCACGTGAGCATCCCTGAGGTGCATGCCAAGGTCGACACGCCCAGGACTGCGTATCCGATAAAGTAGCGACTGTTTTCGAGGTCTCTCTCGAGCCAGATACGAACAAATATTTCTATGCCGAGTAATGTTAGTGGCCGGCAGATGGACGCCGATCGAGGAGATATACTTACGCGGTGCCTTGTCTGACACGGCCGATGCAGCTACGGTGCAGAGCTACAGGGCAAACAGGAGCCTACCAATGGATTCGATATAAAAGTAGTATAGAGTCACGTCCCCGCACTGGCGCTCCGCCCTGTCTTCTTCCGGTACTGGCGGCACTGTGCTTGTTGGGGGAGTGGACGACGCACGGGACGTCTCGGACACGACTTGAGACTGGCTATCTTCAGCTCTCCTCTCGTCCTTATTTTCCAGATCTCGAGCAAGGCTCTGTCTCCCTGTATCATGGTTGACATGTCTCTGTTCTCTGACGCTCCCCGTCCCATCCAGTACGAGAACATTGTCGGCGAGGGCGAGATGCTCGGCTGCGGCACCCTCTAAAGTCAGAATGGAATTTCATCTTCTTGGGCAGGCAGAAGCCTCCATCGTCATCGACTTACGCGAGTGGGTAGTCATGATGACCGTGGTGCCTGATTTCCGCAACAGCCCGTCGCAGCCCAGCAGCTCGGAAAATACAGCCTGTGACGTCCGGCCATCGAGAGCGCTGAAGACGTCGTCTAGAAGCAGCATCGGCTTTCGCGAGTAGACGGCTCTTGCCAGTGCCTGCAGTGAGCACTGTCAACAAGCACATCACGGGCGAAAAGATTGTTTCGCGACGCACCACGCGCTGACCCTGCCCGCCGCTGAGGTTCACGCCGCCGCTGCCGGCGAGAGAGCCATCGCCGTCTGCAAGCTGGCGCATATCTTCGTCCAACAGGCAAGCACGGAGAACTGTGCCATACCAGTACGGATCATAGGCGCTCTGGCTGATGATATTGTCGCGGAGAGTAACGTTTCGAAGCCATGATGATTGGCCGCAATAGGCCATGGATCCGTGCTTGACGTAGATGGCCCCCTCGCTAAGTGGCACCTCGCCCAAGATTGCCTTGGAAAAGGTGGACTTTCCGCTTCCTACTGGTCCGGAGACCATGGTGAGACTCGACTGGACTAACTCGACGTTGACTCGTTGTAATATTGATTCCGCGCCGTCTGGGACGGCGATTGACGCTTCAGCAAACCAGACAGCGCAGCGGTCAGAGGGCAATATCCCCGTTCTCGGTCCCGCCATCTTTCGAAGCGGCTTGAGCTCGAAGTTTTGGTTGTCTTGTGTCTCGCTCGATGGGAGATGACAGTCTCCCACAAATCGTCCATCTATCCTCTCGTCGAGAAGGAGAAACGCCTGTATCCGACCCAGGCAGCCCATGATGCCGGCAAAGGAAGGGTACGCTAGCAGCAGCATCACTAACGGATTTCGAGACGAGGGCAATGATAGAGAGTGTCGTAAATACTTGAGCGGCGTTGAGGCCGCCAGCAAACTTGGTCCAGAAGAGGCCGCCGGCAATAACGATGATGGGCGTGATGCTGGTAGAGAAGGAGGCTATATATACAGTGGAGCCGCATCAGCATCCCCAGCCGCTCGAACAGAGCCTTTCGGGGTAGGGGGGATTCAACTACCGATTGCGTGCATGACAATAAGTAGCACCCGTAGCTTCTTGGAGAAGTCGACTTCGACAAGGCGAAGCCCGTGGATGTACTCCGAGACCGCAGGCACTAGACCCGTCCTCTTAATGCCTTTGATGTGCGCGAGAACATTCGACGTGACCGAAACCCGCGCCTGAACCCTTTCGTTCCAGGCGACGCGGGCTGGAGCCATTCTTCGCGCAAGCTCAATGGAGGCCGCGGTTGTAACTACAACACGATGAATAAAGTATATCAGCTCGGAGCTTCGTCTAGCCTCTAGTCTTCAGTGTTGTCGTTACCTATTCCCGGCAGCACGACTAAAAAGGACGCGCCTCCGACAATCGTTGCTAAGGCATATATGCCGAGCGCGAGTTCGATAACGCTAGCCCAAATTTCGTGGAAGACAGCGAGGCCTTTCTCTATGCCGTCAATATCGGTACTCATCAAGGTCGCGGCGGCAGATTCGTTAACAGAATCCGCACTCGACGACTTAAGTTTAAGCGTCTTGTTGAATATGGCTGAGACGAGCAGTCCTCGGAGGCGGGCAATCATGCGGTAAGTTAGGTGCATATAGTATGCTTTGGTAACCTTAACCGACGTTAACCTATATTCCCGTTTCAGAGTCACTCGGTGAATCTAGTTACGGCTATGCCCATGTAAACAAGCAGCGTGGCCCCAACCAGGCCGCCAACGGTATCGCGGGAAAGGTTACGCTTGTCGATGGCGTTGACTATGCTTTGGAGGAGGAATGGCTGCGCAAATTTGAATCCTATGTGGCACAGCCTAGGGATCACGATGGCGAGAAAGGATCTGACGAGGGTGCGGAGGCACGCTCTCGGCAAGCAATATGGCGAGCTCTTGTTCGCTGTCCAAGCTGAGCGGGAAGATGCGAGAGATGACTGGACAGTGGCTGTTGGCTTACCCTTGGCCCAGAAGGGTTCAAATTTCGCAAACAGACGCGTTGAACTAAGCGCAGGGCCTAGGTCTTGCAGGTCGCCGACGCTTATGATGGAGCGGAAGCCAATGAGCAATGTTGAGTTCAGCCACAGGAACAGAGAACGGCCCCAAAAGCCGCTGGTCGACTCTCTGCCAAGTGACGAGGCGTCGTCGGCCATGACGTTGTCGGGTCCCGCACTGCGCAGATCCATGGCTATGCGGCTTCGACTGGAGCGGACGCTTCAAGTTGACTGGTAGAGTCGGTCGGGCCGTGGTGATGATTCGGGACGGCGGGGGAGGCCTCAGTCTTGATGCAAAGAGGGCGTTTCGTGTTTAAGTAGCAGTACTTCGTCCATGGTACGTGTGCATGCATCGAATGTTGGTCAACCAACATTTGACCACCCCGGGCCGTGGCCGAGATTGGAGAATTATATATATGTGAGTGTGTTTATACTTGGGACTCGCCTGCCTGGCCGCGAGCCGAGCCTCCGCCCTCTTTTGGCGCCTGGAGTCTCAAGGGATACGCCTAGAAGAGAGAGCAGGTCGCCAGAATGCGTACCTTGTCTCAATATGTGGAAAGTATGCCGCAAGGCTGGCGGCCAAGTCTCGTACTTACCGGCCAAGAGTCAGGTGTATGGCCTGAGCTGTGCATGGCCGAACAATGCATTGCAAAGCTAGAGCCGCGAGAGTGGAATATCTCGCTTTGTGTGCTGGAAACTGACATTTTAATCACTTATCCCGGGATTGCCTTCGCCTAGGCTCTTAACAGAGACGATCGAGCCAGGGAATCATTGATTGGAGGTCTTAGCTGGTCCTCCGTATAGAGATGATACTCGTCTATGGATCCTTTCAAAGGTTTCATTGTTGACGGCTGGTTGATTTTCTACGGCTGACAACAGGAGAATATCAACTTTGAACCCAAGAAAAGTCAAAGATTTGACCGGAGTTGAGGTTATGGCACGCGAAGGATACCTATCACATGCATTCTATTACAGCCAACTCGTCCTGACCGACAAGCCACAGTGCCCCGGCCATGAGTCGACTAGCAGGCCGGTGGGTCGACGCATGCAGTCATTGAACTTCTGGATGCATGTTGGTTGGCGATGTGTACACACTCACAACTGCTCGTACAGCCAACAAGACATAAATGGAGAGGCGCGGTCGGACATGGATGAAAAAGGCAGGTCGCCACAACGGAGCAGCCCCGAGGCACCCTTGGAAGGATTACTCCAAGGTAAAGATCCCATCCGCCCCTCCCCCCAACATTGCATCCCGGCCTGTAAACGTAACTGCATTGCCAATCTTGCCACATTTGCTACTCGACATGATGCAAGCTGTTCTTGCTGAGTCTAGAGCGGGCTGATCCCGCGATTGCAGGTCGTATAGCTAATACTAGCAGATATTTATATACTACAGCTAGGATAATAGCTTGCTGTCTTTTATAAAAAGCCTCATAGTCTAAAAGTTATTATTTTTGACTACTAAAGGGGATAAAATTTATAGGCGTAAAGATATAAGCAGCTTTTATACCAGACGTAGTAATAATAGCAGAGGGGGCGTAGGTGCGGTCTGTAGAAAGAGCACGGTTGGCGCAGCGCCCGCTCTTTCCTCAGCAGAAACTCCTTCGAAGGAGGGCAACCTATCAAGCTCCACTAAAGTAGGGATTGCAATGCGTGGTAGGAGCTATATAAAACAAGGGGATAACTGCAGTCTATTAAAGGGGCTCTTGATTAACAATTAAATTGATTAGCCCCTGTTTTCTAGTTTCTATTTGTTCGTGCTTATACTTATAGCATCTTTTGCGTCTGGCAGAAGCGAGCTGAGACTCATTAAAAGCCACCCTGCCATGGTACCTAGCATACCATCTTATTCCTTATACAGATGTTTCGGGTAAATATTAGGTATGCTACAAGCTTTGGAATTAGTTAGATAATCTATCTACTTAATTCGGTTAATAGACGCGACTTTAATATTAATATTATTAATGATGCAAACTGCTTAATCTACTGAATTAAGGGTCTTTATTAGGTAGAATTAATATACTTAAGAGCTAAGTTTAGTTAAGTTAATTAATTATTAGCCGGATTAATTGAAGTTAAAGTAGGTTAAGCTATGTCGGACTCTAAATAAATCTATTTTAATAATCTACTAGAAATAGCCCTTTAGCATACTCCCTACTTTTAAGCAGCTTAAGAGTATCCTGCAGAATGCTCTTGTTCGGATGCTTAGCTGCCGACGTCTCCTCATACTTGTCTGCCCATGAGCTCCCGATCGAGGACAGTTCCGTAGATCATGCTAGGCCCCGCGACTGAAACATTTCCTTATTATCAAATCGTACGGGTAGGTGGCGGATGCGGATCGGCCGGCATGTTTCTCCGGACGGACAAGAGCTGATCACACCTGTCTCAATCATAGTCTCCGGAGTTTTCTCGCTATGACGGCTTTTCCAATCTTCCAAGTGCTTAAGCAGGTATTCCATCCCAACCAGGACCTCCTATAGGCTCCCACGACCGTTGCCGTCGTCCCAGCCTTACGTTGTCATCAGCCAAAGGTAGATAGGCTTAAGGATTTTCCTTAATATCGCCTGAAGCCCGCGAGTCTTAATCGGATAAGACATCGTCGGTAGGAATACGCTTTGACTTGTCTCGTTCTCCTTTAAGGGCGGAGACAAAAGTCAGGATATCTATCCTCTTCCGTAAAGCTCTCAATCATAAGATACGTAGAACTCCAGCTTCTCTGATTGCCAATCATAACCTCAAGCTCAGCCGTTAATTCCTTGCAGAGACAGAAGTGTTCTCCGTCGTGCCCTTAGACAGCCCGCCTTGAGCTTTTACTCCGTTGTGACGATGACCTGATGGACCTAATGACGTTGGCCAATTTCTCAATAGGATCATTTGTGGGCTAGGTAAAATGAATCACATTTTTATTGACTGCTAGTGATAACGCATAGCAAACGAGCAGTCCGTAGGGAATGTAACACTAAGACTGTATCACGCTCTGGTCACGGAAAATCCCGGTCACTTAATCTCGTTCCTAATTACTTGGTCCTATGAAATAATGAGCTATAAAGAGTTCCTTGCTGTTCCTCGGGACCGCTTGTTGCTTGGACATTTCCCACTTAGACAACTCGAACCTCTTTTATATTACACTTCGACCGTTGATACGATGAAAGCTGCGGCTGCTTTCATTCTCGCCTGCTCTATAAGTACGGCATTTGCCGGATCTATTTATGCACGAGCAGAGCTAGGAGGGCGTAAGAAAAGAGTACCATGCGGGAAAAGCTTTGCCTCCAAGATCCACGATTCTGCTCACTGCATCTTATTCTTCATTCCCCAAGGCATCACGCATCCAGAAGATAACCAGCACTTTCACAATTGCTGTTTCGGTAAAGACAGGAGTGTGAATTCGTAATGAAAAATAGAGGACGAAAAGGCCGGTTCGAGGGATTAAGGGGCACACAGAGGTTTATAGACGTCGGGCAGGGTGAGAGTACGGACTAGGAATCGCTTCTATATTAATAAACTAAATCAGCTCGCAGTTACGAGCTGACTTATTAAGACATTAGGGCTGTGCTTGCCCTAGTTAAAAGCTTAATATATAACCTAGACCTTATTAACTAGCTGCACCTAAAATGGCGATTAAGGCAACCAACTTAACCTTAAGCATTGGGGGGGGGGGGAAACTAAGCCCCTAGCAGTACTATGGCGCCTATACCTACGTATAAGACCTACTTTTACGGTAGGGACGCTATTATGCCACTTCTATAGGCGCTTATATGATAGCGCTATCTCTAACTAATTATTTTAGGTCGGCATAGTCTAAGTTATTGGTTCGGTCTAAAATGAACTATGCTGCCCCCCCGCCGGATTTGCTTTTCCCCCTTGTCAATAGCCTTATTAGGCAAGCCGTAGGACTAAAGTTCTAATAGTAAGCTTAAGCCTGGGCGTTATAAGAGCGGTCGTAAGGCGATATTTCTAAAACCCAGCTCAAGTCTATATCATCTATTTGCCGCATCACGTAGTTCCCAGGCCGTGTGCAAGTCGTCATGTCCTTCGCGCCTTAAACATAATCTATCGACTAGTGCTACAATCCTAATTAAAAGACTTGTAATTTTACTACTACCAGGCTTCTTATGCAAATCTATGTGTGATATCTACGGCCTCGCAGATCTACCCCCGAAATTATCTGTAGCTATAGCCTCCAACCTTACCTTATCGACCCTTGGCAACTCATGCTCGCCGTTCTCTGTCGGTGCTGGCAGGAATCCAACTGCAACCAGATACGCCAAGTACATGCCAAGAATCTGTACACTAACAGCGCTTGACGAAGACTTTCCATCCCGACTCCCTTTCCCCTTATCATATGACCTTAGCGCTGCTGTCGCATTGGCGTCATCCAACTCTGGAGCGATAGTGTTTGCGGGCAAGTTTCCCACGGCGAAGTGAAACAATGGGAGCAGTGCATGCTCCTCCTTGGTGTCATCACCCACGAACTGGATGACCTTGGTACACCACTCTTGGTACGGCACTATCGGCACGCGATATCCGTATGACTCAAGGGCACCGACCCACTCATTCAGCGTCAAACGCGGATGGCTGGTAACCTGAGCCACGCCCAGCGATTGCCCAGTAGTTGCAGGGAGATGGAACGCTGCGGCGATAACGATGCGGCTGACTTGCGTAACAGGGACTGCATTGACCGTGTTTGCAATGTCAGGACGCGCTCTTACCTGCAAACAGCCTTTCCATAGCCGGACCAGAAAGTCGTCCGTGACCGAAATGCCAGAAGCCGGGTCTCCTGTGATGTACCCGGGTCGTACAACGGCTCCCACAAGACCTCTCCGTCCGGCCTCACCCATGACAAACTCGCTCGCCCACTTGGACTGGCCATAGCCTGTGCCAAGGCCCCTGCGACTGCCTTCCAGGTCATCCGTCTCCGGGACACCAGTTTCGACCTCTCTCGAGAGCTGCACGTAATGGTCATTATCCAGCGTTGAGGTTGAGCTGACGAATGTCAGTCGCTTGGGTTTCCCCGTGGCGCAAAGTCGGATGCAGTCCAGTGTGCTAAGCACATTGGCCGCCCGTAGGCTGGAATACGGCAGCATCCAGTTGACCTGGGCGCCGTTATGGATGACCAGGTCTACCACGTTAGAGAGGCGATCCCATGTGTTCTTGAGCAATCCGAGGTATGGCTTGGATATGTCCCCCGCCACAACCTCAAGTCTGGACGTAGATGTCCAAGTTGGGGACCACAGGCCATAGGCTTTTGTTGCGGCCTCGACTCGTGCGAGACCTGCCGCTGCATCTTTCGCTCGGACGTGTGCAACTACATGCGCTCGCGACGGGCCTTCGAGGAGCTCGTGCAGGACATATGAGCCGAGGAAGCCTGTCGCACCGGTCAAAAGCACGGTAGGCGGAGTCTCCGTGTAGTCCCAATCTTTCGGTGCTTGCTGAATGGACTCGGGAAGTTGAGACACTAGATCCCTCGCATCCGCCGCGTAAGCCTCATCCTCCATATTCCCGTCTCCAGGGAGGGGCATCGCGTCTAGTCGTAGGCCAATGGGATCCTGTGCTCTATCGATCTCTGCGGCGAGGGCTTCCAGAGTCTGGGACCGGAATATGACATTCATTGGCATATCAATATCCTTCCATTCGTTTTTGAGACGGAAAAACATCTGTTGTGCCAGGATAGAGTGACCACCTTCATCAAAGAAGTTGGAATCCGGCACAAACATTCGTGCGGAGCGGTTAGGGAGAACCGCTGCCCATATTGTAGCCAGTCGAGCTTGGGTGTCGGTCATATTGGCAACCGCAGACGAGGCCCTCCTCTTGGCGACATGAAGAAGATCCGACGCATCGGGGAAAGGGAGCGAAGGTTTATCAATCTTGCCGTTCGGATCTTGACATGGGTTATTAGTTTAGAGAAGATTTGCATCTCGTCAGGGGTAACTTACTCAAGGGCATCCGAGCCAGAGGAACAAAAATACTGGGAACAGCGTACTTCGGAACCTTGGCTGCCAGGAATTGTTTGCAGTCATCAGACAGCAGCTTGAATCGCCTAAGCATTCCAGCCATCGACTCATATACTGTTTCCTGCTCGATAGCTTCTCCATCGTCCTGAAGTTGAAGGTGTTGGAACCACCGCTTTGTCTCTGGGACGAAGTATGTAACGAGTGTTTGCTCCTCGTCCTTATCTCTTCGAACTACCGTAACGTTTTCGCGCACGAATGGGTGCTGTGATAGAAGTATGTCGATCTCGCCCAGCTCAATCCGAAAGCCCCGGATCTTGACTTGAGAATCAATCCGGCCTGTGCACTCAACGCTTCCGTCGGCGCGAACTCGGCCAAGATCGCCGGTTCGATATAGACGATCTCGTGGTCCCTTATAAGCAGCCCGGTGTTCGTACTGCCGCGCCCACTTGGCAGGGTCAACAAACCAGTTGGGAACAAACTTGGACCGGTTTAGTTCTGCCGTCTTGTCGTCGTCCCCAAGGTACCCTTCCGCGAGACCTGCGGCTCGAAGGAACAGTTCCCCTTGCTCACCGACCCCGCACAATCTGGTTCTGTCCTCACGGTCGACAACCAGGAGTTGAACATTCAGCATGCCTTGGCCAACTGGAATAATATCTGGCAAGGAATCCAAAAACGCCGGATCTTGAGCTTTGCTTGGAACCTCGAAAAAAGACACTGCCCGTTGCGACTCGGTTGATCCGAAGAGGTTTTCCACAGTTGCATTGGGTGCAAGGTCGCGCAGCTTTCTGCAGTCTTTTTTGGTCAGAAGATCGCCAACAAAGAAGGCAGACCGGAGGGAAGGGAACTGAGTTGTGGCACCGCCAACAAGGATCTGGCCCATGGCGGGAGTCAGATGGGTTACCGTGACCTTGTGCTCATTCATCCACTCCGCTAGCAGCTCGTAGGTAATAACGTCGGCAGGGGGAACAACGATCGTGGCGCCTAAAAAGAGCGGCGTGAAAATGTCTCTCTTTGTTTGCAAATATTAGACCTTTATCATTATCAACGCCAACAGGGGTATAGATAGAGCCGAGCTTACCTGGATCGGATCATGGGCAATGCCGGACAGCATGGTGAACCTGTCCCCTTCCGAAAGGCCAAACCTGTCGGCCATCCAGGGGACGTAGTAGGTAAGTGAAAAATGGCGCCCTTGAACGCCTTTTGGCCTGCCCTCAGATCCGCTCGTAAAGCTCAGGGTAGGAATGGAATCGGGGCCAACAATGACATTGGGATCTTCCTCTCTACGGGACGCCTGAGTTGCTAGACAATCCTCGCCGTCGACATGGCCTCCACTTAGCTCACCACTGTCGGAAAGCTGCAGCGCTGGAACCACAGACTTGAGGTCTAGATTGTGGGTGATGAAGTCGGTAACAATGCTGGGCGGCTTGCCAAACTCCTCGGTGGCTCTCTGGATGTAGACGAGAAACCTAGGTCTCGCAACGTCTAGGAGTATGCTCTGGCGCTCCGGAGGGTACTGTGGGTCCAGTACACTGACGGTTGCGCCAGCCTTAAGAGCACCCATATAGGCCACGACAAGGTCGACCCTGCGTCGTCGTCAGTGATGGCGAGATGGCTGGAGAGCAGAGCAAGGACCGACCCTCGATAGGCGTATATCATAACAACATCCCCCACGTTGCAGCCGTGGGCGACGAAATGATGTGCCAACTGGTTAGAACTCTCATTGATCTGGCGATACGAGAAGGTGCGTTGAGCGGCTCGTGGGCTCTTGGTTTCAATGACACATGGCCTGCTGGGCACCCGCTTCGCATTGGAGGCAAATATCTCATGAATGGCTAGACGATAAGTAAGCAACGGTACATTGCGAGAAGCGGGAAATGGGTGCCATGGCCATATAATACCTCCGCGATAAGCGCCCCAGTGTAGGTCGCATGTTGGATCAGGGAGCAGGGAGCTCCGGATGCTAGGCGGCATTTTCGACGAGGCAGGTCAAATCCGGGAACCTCTCGGTCTTTTGTATTTGACTCTTCTGCTGACTCTTCTTCTGGTCTCCCAGACCGCGATGTCCCTGTCGTGTGACGCCGCGAGCAAGCGTTTCTCACGTCAAGACAGGAGATAGAGGGGGCAAATTTTGCGTGCGGGGCGGAAGGGCTACTGGTTTTATAATACTAGAGATAACCTAATTGGTGGTTGGAGTCATGGCTCCGCTCCGATACCGGCAAAACTGTGGGAATTTTGGGAATCTTCGCGCAAGGCTAGACAGAAAGTTTTCCAACCCCGCTTCTTTTACCTGAACCACCCTGCTGCAACCAACCAGTCGAAGCATTGGCTGGTGTTGGCCGAGGAAAAGAATACTTGCAGAACCACCACGGGCGCAACAGAGCATACAAAACGTTGCACCTTGGCTTTCGATATCCTTGTCCACTCGCCAAGGAACACGACCACGAGGCAATCTTCTCTGCTGTGCTGGAGTACGAAAGTCCAAAACAAACATCGGCAACTGCAGTTCCCATACCCGCTTGCGAATGAGCAGAACTGTTCTCAATCGTTCAAGAGGAAAGCGGACGCCAAGGTTCATGCATCAATGTCTGGCAAAGTTCTGGTCAATACTTGCGTCGAACATCATAGACCACAGAGCCGAGAATCATTTTGTACGACATGAGTTGCATTAAAGCAGCCAACATCTTTTCTTTATCTCGATTCCCTAAAACTGGTCGCTTGAATGCAGATAGAGTTCCGTCTAAACTTCGAGCAGCGGGAATCACACGTCACACGATCGAACATCTTTGTATAGCATGCAGGGGCGACCGATTTGCAACTACTAAAGCAATTCCTGAAACTGGCTGGACAGGATGTGTGATTCTGCCACTGGATGAAAACTGAATATCTTTGCATCAGCTTTTCCGCATCAATATCCAGGAGGTACTATCTGGACGAAGATGTTTCCCTCTAGCGCTGGAATTCCTGTTCCCCCTGTGCTTTCCCCGCCACTACCCTATCGGGCTTAACTATCGGGCCCTGGAAGACTGTCTGCACCCTTCCCTGTATTTTTACTTACTTGGCACGTAAGTGTTAAGGAAGTAGCCTATCTATATAGCTTTTCGCTTAACACTGCTCTTAAAAATCCTATAATAGCGCCCCGCGAAAGCGCCGGCAGCGGCTATAGCACTAGCCTTAGGTTCGTGTGCCGCTCCTAGTACTATCGAACCCGGTATATAATCGCTACCTAATCTAGTAGCCCGTATATTATAGTACTTACTATCCTCTTTAATAGAGGCTCGCTTAAATAACTTAACCCTTTTAGCTTAGTAGTTATTATTCTCGCGAAGAGAGATACGAGAAGTATATATAAAATGCACGACAGTAAAATTAAAAGTAAGGGGTCGGATAGGTAAGGCAGAGATATTTAATTCTTATAGGGGCAGCAATTACGGTAGGGGAGTAATTATTATATTACCTTCTTTTTCCTTCTTTCCTCTATTTAACGCCCCTCTTTATACCTATCTAATATCTTAATTAATATAGAAGATCCTACTTAAAGAAGCTACTAATATCCTCTTAACTACTAAGCTTTTTACTAGGTTTTCCCCTCCTTTCTAGCCGTTACTAGCTTATCTATCTTATCTCTCGCTACCTTAATAGGAAGCTATCGCTACTTTTGCTTCCCCTTATACCCCTACCCTCCTCTCTATACCTCTTTTTAGCTCCTTTATCTATACCGGTTTTTTAGCTTCCTTAGTCTCTCTTATTAACGGATATCTCTAAGAACTACGAAATTAAGCTACGCTTCGGGATATACCCCCTTAGCTATAGCCTGCCCCTTAAGGGCATAGCTAATACGGCTTTAGGCTAGTAAGTATATAAAGGAGGTTCTTAGCTCTATACTTATCCCTTTACTTAAGGAAAGTAAGGGCGTTTTTAGGTCCCTAGGCTCTTTTAGACCTACTTAAGGAATAGGGGCTTAAAGAGGGGAAAGTCCTATACGAAAGGGGACCTTCTTAGAAAGGAGAAACCTAATTAAAATAGGGGGCCCTTTAAAGGGAAGACCTCTTCCTTTTCTTTAGCTATAGATATTACCTTCTTATATAGGCTATTAGCTCCTCTTATAGACTCTTAAGGCGGGCCTTTAAGGATAGCTTCTTATAGATATCTTTTAGCTTAATTTACTATAAATAGATAGCTAGCTTCTACTTTAGTAAGGGCTTTATAAGACTATTTATAAGGGAACATATATCATAGTACGATTAGTTAGGTAGTAGAGATAGCTAGAGGTACTACGCTATATATATTATGTTCTCCTCGTCGTAAGACTAAAGCTTACGAGAAGAGGGATTTCTCCTCTTCGGTCGGAGTAGCGAGTAGTCTATAATATATAAGCGGGGTAGGCACGATTCCCTGCCGATACCCTACCGATATATTAGTACTACGTACCCGAGTGCTTTATTAGCCCGTACCTCCTAGTAGCGCTCTTATAATTATCTCCCCTCCTATATAGACGCCTCGGCTATATCTTTAATATATATTGCTTTCGCTACGCTACGTATATTCGGTTAGGAAGAGAGGTAGTTTCGGTTATATATCGCGCGTATACGCCTATATAAGTATACGTTAGTCTACGCTCTATAACGTTAATAGTTATTATACTAGCGGTTGCCGCCGAGTAACCGTTATAGTATCGCCTATATATCGGCCGCGTAACTATAATATAAAGAGCGTGCGTATATATCTCCTACTTCTTTTATTTTCTTTTCTTCTTTAACTCTTCTACTTACGATTACTATAGAGTTTTACGCCTTTTTTTATTAATCCCTTATACCTTTTTATATTACTTTTTATCGACGATTTATTAACGATAATGCCTTCTACGCTAAAGAAGATAAAGAACTATAACGCCGATTTCCTACGCCGTATACGGGAGTAGGTAGCGGCGGGTTCGCCCTTAAAGCGTAAGCGATCGGCCTAAAAGTCTTATAGCGACGCTAGTTCCCCCTTAGCAAAGAGAGCTAAGAAAGGCATAGGGGAATCCTAGTCCTAGGAGACTTCTAGTCTAGGACCTAACGTTAGCGAGGGTCGTGCCCCCGTTACCCCGCTAAGTGCCCCGACTCTAACCGCCGATAAGCCTGCCTCTATAGGCCCGGAAACTCGTAAGTCTATTACCCCCGTTAGCGATGCTAATACTAGCGAGGAGATCGTGCCTAGGCGCTCCTAGGTAAGTGCCGATAACCCGGCTACTCTATCTCGATAGGGCGGCTCTAGCTAATAGGAGATTATCGCCTAGGCCGCTCCTTAGAATAAGCAGGCCGATATTAACGATAAGGCCTAGCCGAACGAGGGCTAAGATAACGATAACGGCAATAACGGAGACGGCCGCGATCTGACTCCTCCTACCGACGAACCCGAGAACAGCGGCGCCGGAGACGAGGGTACCTAGGCGGCGGCACGAGGCGGTCGCGCTCCTACGAAGAAGCGCACCTAATCTAAGGCTAAAGCCCGCCCGGTTAGGGCCTATAGGGTTATCCCTCGTAAGCTCTAGTATATATATTATTTTAGGACGGTCGTTAAGGAGTATAGTACGACCGAGCCTAAGCCTATCGAGGTGCTCTTAATTAGCTATATTTTCTCGGGGGTTTCCTCGACGCGCTACGAGTAGTGCTATAGACGTGCCGCGACCTATAACTAGGTAAGTTTCCCCTTAACTTTAAATATTACGATTAATAAGCTAATCTTTCTCGAGGCCGCTACTCTTATATCTCATAACCGGGCTAATATAGTCGCTATCGTTAAGCACCTACGCGAGCTTAATAAGCTAAAGACCGGTAACGAGGATACCGAGGACGATAGCTTAGACGCGGGCGTGCTCGTTTTCGAGGAGGCTAATCGGCGCCGTCTCGCTATTATAGTATAGCATTTAGCCGAGGCTTTCGACGCCGCTAAGACGGCCTATTATAAGTCCTTTAGGACTATAGGTATATAGAAGTCTACTATCGTAAGTTTTATCCGACCCTTTTATTAGCGACCGCCTAACGATATACTAGGTCGAGCATACCGACTACCGCACGCTAATTAATAAGCGCCGCGAGCTTATTATTCGCCTTAACCCTACGCCCCTATTCGATATCGCCCGTATAAGCCTAGAGTACTAGGCCTAGGAATCCCGGTTAAAACTCTACCTTATCGACGGCGATACGGGCTATACTTCGTAGTAATACGCCTTACTATTTACTAAGGCCGAGGTAAGTGCCGTGCTAATAGAGATAGGTCTCGACGCGGAAGATAAGGAAGGAGCGGAGGATAGGGTAGTTCCGGTATTTCCGGAGGTATTCGGTATAGCGGAGGGGGCGCCTCGGTTAGTTCCCGCTACGCTAGCAAAGAAAAGGGGTAGTCGGAAGTAATAAATAGGTCTTATCTTTCTTTTATTTAACTACGACTATCCTTCTCTCCTTTATTATTAAGGCCTTAGTAGAGTTATAGTTTAGTTTTATTTTCCTTAATAATATTTAATAAGTAATATAGATAGTTTTCCTTATTCTCCTATTTTACTATTTTATATATAGTTATAGGACGTTTAGGCGTACTAATACGTTAATAAGTTAGTAGCGATTTAGTAGGGATTCGTTACCGATTTAATAGCGTCTCCCTACGCTAATAGGTTTCCTTACCTTACTTAGTCTTACGCCTCTTTTTCCTAGTTAAGCGAGTAGTATATTCTTTAATAAGGTCTTAGCTATTCGCTATATCTTCGGCCTCGACCTATTAGTTATACTTAGCTAGCTATCCTTTCTATTTAATAAGGAAAAAGGTATTACCCTTAGATCTCTTTCGGTCTTTAATCTCTTAGACTTCCTATTCGCCTTCGTCGTCCTCTAAGTCTAGCATCGGTAGGGTTTCGCTATCTTTACGGGTGCCTTTACGCTCCTTCTATAGCTCTAAGAGACTAATATAGAAAACGTTATAGAGGCGTAAGTACTTCTCGG